TCAGATTCAGTGTGGTCTGATAACTTCCCCGATCTCAAATAAAAACTTTAGAGACATTCTTATGATTTCTAATATGGTTCCACCTTCCTCATCTGGCATGCAAAAGACTGCAAACAAAGTTGCAAAACAGGTAGAGGAATTGAATAAAGCAAGTATGCAAGACATAAGGAGAAATTTGGTTGAGGAAAATAAATTATGTGGTCTATCTAATGAAAAACTTGTAAGAGTTGAATCGGACTGTCGCTATAACAACCCTCTCATAAATAGCGGCACTACACCGTTTCAAGCTGGTACTCAGGTTGTGTGCACAATGTCGGAAAATAATACTTCGACCAAACAAATTGTGTCACTATTTACGGGTAATAAACTCTGTAGTGTTGCTACTAGGTTGAGAGGGAAGGGTATTGAAATTATATGTCCAAATCATGGAGGTGTGTGCACAGCAAATATAGCTGAAGATGCCTCCATTGGTAATGAGGCAGTATACAGTAGTTCTTGTGCAACCGAGATCAGTGATTACTTGAAAATCTCCCATATAACAACTGATGGTGATAGTAAATCATATCAAGGTGTCAAACAAGTTCACGGTATCAATGTTGAAGCACTTCGTGATGTTCGACATTTATCAGCAACTATGAAACGGGCTATTACAAGGTGCACATTTAGTCCGGATCTTTTTTCTGGTGCAAAGAAGGCCAATCTCAAGAATAGATTTGCACTTGATATTAAAGCAATGTGTGTTGCAGAATTAAATCAAAGCTTTACTGTGCATCAGGGTGAACTGTATAAAGTTAAGCAGCACATGCCTGAAGTAATTGAAAAGGTTATTGTGGATCCTCTTGTAAGGTTAACTCCTATGTGTGTGCTGGTTTGCCTTCAAATCATTGGATAAAGAATTTTATTCCAAACGGTGGCACATGTAGAATGACATGTGATGATGAAGTCAAAGTTGAAAACTGTATAAGAATTTTACTCGGTACCAATAGTTTAAATATTGTACGGTTTCTTACCTCGACACAAAAAAGTGAAGCTTTCAATCGTGCACTAAGTCGTTGCAATCCGAAGAATGTGACTTTTTCCAGAAACTTCCCAGGACGTGCACATGCTGCAGTTCACATGAGAAATCATAGATTTGCAAATTCTCTTCTCCTGCTCACTGAAGAGCTTGGTGTTAAAATCACAGCACCAAAAGTACTCATGAATCTGAAATAGAGAGATAGGCATGAATTATACATGTACAAATATCGACGCAGTCATGTTGCAAAGTTGAAACGTGCAATCAGTCGAAACAGAAAGTATCGTTTGCATGCTTCGATACATTATTCGCAGCCTGTATTTTATCGCAAAGGCATGGCTGATCCAAATTATGATAAAAATTGTATGAAAAGAATGTGTGTTACCCATGACAAGTCATATCCAAAGCGACAACCCAGAAAGCATTAATTTTCAGCATGCCCTGTTTGATTGTATAAAATTACTTGTAAATATTGAATATTCTGTATATGGATTGTTAATTTTACTTTTATTTCTACCTTTACAGATTTTATAACATGCAGTCTTTGTACGGTTCGTGCTTTTTACAGCGCAGTGGATAAATTCCACTGCAAACTTGTCGGTCCATATTCACATGATGTGGTTCATAAGATAGGTGCCCAGGGTTCACACAATGGGGTTGGTGACATAAATGTGACACATCCATTAAATGTTCTGACAGTTCAAAATTGTTATTGAAGATCATGTATGCAAATCTATGGCTAAGGACAGTTTTTTTCTTCTCTTCCCATGGCATTTTTACAGACAGGGTTGAATATTTTTGCCCCTTCCCTCCCAGATCACAGGTCCAACAGTTGTGTGGACCATGCACTGTAATACTATTGAAAATTCTCTCTTTTTGCATGGTTTTCCACTGCTCAATATTCATTTTTGATAAATCATTCAAAAATATTCAGAAAAATATTCAAATTTTTTACCTCAATGTCAAGGGTGCACGTGCAGATTCCTGTAATAGGAATAAAACCACTAATTAATGGTCCCATTGCTTTCTATATTAAATTCCTTAATTTCAAGCTTTCACAGCTCTTTCGTTTTAAGTTCAAATAAAGTGACACTCATTCCATGTCAAAACAATACTTTCTGGTTACCCTTGCTGGAAAAATCATCATACCTTTAATTGCATATAAGACCGCACTGGTTCCCGGAAGTTCGGAAGTACAAAAACAGGTACTTCAGATCTGAGAATCAGGCAATAAATGCCCTCCTGTTTCAATTTCATAAAACTTTTTTATTATTTGATATAATCATTCCACAAAGGTTCTACAATGGTCCACAGTCATTAAGCTTTCATTTGATACCAAAATTACCCAAATATTTTACAAATTTTAAAAGTTACAGCTATGCGTAGGAACTATTTTGTTTGAAATATGTACTACTTTCTTGTATGTTCTTTCAGACCGGGCCCGAATTAGTGGTTCTATACCTTAAGCACCGCATTTAGGCTATTTCGTGGCGGCCAGTTTTTTATTGATGGAGGAAGCCAGCGACCATTGATAGGAAAACTGACAATCCTAGTTAATTAAGATTGGAGTCGAGTGTACCCGCACGAGCGGGATTCGAACTCACAACCTCAGTGTTGACTGGCTAGTGATTACAGTAGTAACTACTTAGACCACTCGTCCACCGAGGCCCCTCGGTTGAGTCGAAATCGAATTAAAATCTTCTTTAAATCATTCAATATCGGTGGGGTGTTCATGTGACAGTCGTTCAAACTAGGATGGTAAGGTGAAATCCGACAACTACAATCAATCGTACACTGTTCTAATTGGCGTCGTGCTTGAGTCCTTTTTTACAGGATGATGTCGGATGTAATGAACTTTGTTAGAAATCGGCCAATTTTCATCTATTCTTTCAATAAATCCGAAGTTTTCTTGGTCTGTTATGATATCGCTTCAATTCTTTAACATACTTGGTTCTTGGCGCAGTCTTTTTATAACGCTTTCCGTTCTTTTCTTTTTTATAGCATAGTTTTACTGCAACTCATCGTGGTTGTTTTTCCAGGGTTACTTTGCGTAATATATGTTGCTGACGATTGTAAAATTGTTGAGTCTTCTTGTATCTCGGTATCCTTCACAAGATTTACTACAGTTGATGTAGATGGCGTACTTTCGTTCTTACAACTGTTAACAGAATTAATCGTGTCAGGAAAACAGTTGTTACTTCTCTTGTCAGGGTTCGCGGTGTGTTCAGCTTTGCTACATAAACTAGTGTGGTGTCGTTTACTACAGTAACGACATGAGCCAATTTGTTGTACCATGCTCCCGAGTGAGATGTTTTCTAATTCTCCGGGCAGTTTTTAATAATAATTGGGACTAGTAAATTACCATACGAGTCTTGTGTCTCTCCAAACGATTCAAGTCCTTTAACTAAACTCTCCATTTTGCCAAAATAAATTCTCAGGCTTATGAGGTCATTTCGGGGTGGCGTAATATCAAACAGTGCTTGTAGGTGAGCTTGCGTACAATTCCAGGCGAAGTAGTAGGGATAAACGGCACGTGGACTGTTAACATTTAAAACTTCATAAGATGAATGTGGTGTTTAATTGGAAATAGGATGTGATGATTTATATTTAAATATCCTAAAATGTCTCAGTTAAGTAATAAAATGTGTAAGATACTCATCTGTGTATACGATGTCAATCTCTTTATCCTCTGTTTCCGATGAATTCACAATTTGTTCATTCATTTTAGTGTGTTCTTCTTTTGTAAGTTTTCGTATGTGGCTAACATAAGTAATATGTTCACATGGACTTCCATGTCCATGAATATTTCGTTAAAATTAAGCTGTTTTTACAAAAGGGGAAGATGTCGCATGTTTTGTCTCTGCAACAAATCCCTGACAAGTCCACAAGTAACGTGTGACAAGATAAAATTCCTCCATTAAAATTAGAAAATAAAGAACGTAATAGAAAAAAATGTATATCAAAACATATCAGTTTAAGCCCTTGCAGAAATAGCAAGGTTGATAATTTTGGATATCCTCCTACTCAGAAGGTCGTTATCATAATGTTGACATCAATAATATCAAGTTGACATAGTCTATAGATAGATGAAGGTCGCCCGGCAAATTCTACAATCAGTAATAAAATGGCGCATTATGATTTGATCTGAAACCTTATGAATATACCTTATTTACGGAGTTGTTCTTAAAATGTGCTAGTCAACAGGAATTCGTGTCACTATAATAGACTATTTTCATATAACCGACTTTTGATTCCGACGGATTATATTATTTTTCGACAGGTTACCTTTTCTGTGGTAAGACATCCTGGTACTCGGTCAATTAAAAGCAACCAAAATAAGTACAAACAACATATAATCGGTGTAATTCGAGTGGTAAGTTAACTGTTTTCTATTGATTAAGTCGTGTGAAGAAAATACAAGGAGTTAATTTTCAACAAAAACTGTACGGTTTAAAATATTTGAGTTTACTTCTTTATGTTGCTCTTACCTAACTTGGTACCTGGATTTCCTACCACAGAGTAAGGAAAACTGTCGAAAAAACATTAAAGTTGGAGTCAAAAGTCGGTAATGTGAAAATGGTCTATTGGAACCATTATTCTGGCGTAGAGCTGACAGTCTTTACTATGAATAAAATTTGCTACATTTTCAATGGAAATTCAAAGACAATGTTAAAGTCTTTGATTTGACTGAATCAGGGATAAAACAAATCATCTCACAGCCCAAGGCAAGTTTGCGGCAACCACATCAGCAATGTGATTATATAAAGAATTTAAGATGTTTGAAAGCTAAATTGATAATGTATATGAAATTAACATATGTTGTTATTACAGGGAACGCATTCATATAAATTACAAGATCTAAATAAGGGAACTCAACATCGGAATATGCAAAAGTATCCGGCCTTTTAGATACGGACATAAAAAAAGTTCAGTCTGTGACTATAGTTGTGACTTATAATTAAACGTTCAATACGTTTTGTTTTAGGGTTTCTAGATATTTCTGTAAGTCCTGCTGAGGCATACATTATCCCCGGCAACAATCACATCATTCAGTGTACTGTGAAGGGAATACCCACGGCTACATCAATTGAATGGCGGTTTACTCCAAATGGTGGCAATCAGCACTCGCTTAACATCGGAGGTTGGGATGGAAAATATACTGGTGGTTGTACACAAAATCCTTCTTTGATTATAAAGAACATCCAGCCAGTTGACGCAGGTTCATATGTTTGTTATGCATCAAATGATGTTGGTACATTTTCTTGTGATCATCCTTCAGTTCTAAAATACAGACGTAAGTTTTAAATAAGACTAATCTTAAGGATGTACTAAGGTGACATTTAAAAAATCAAGAATTGAAGTTGTTACCTTAATTCGGAAGAGCATTAGTTAAGGAACAAAATGATATTAAAATATTGATAGGTTATGGAGGCACGGAGCTCCCTTTCGATAAATTTGATTTTATTTAAATTGTGTGAAAAGGCCGACTCTGACTTTTACCTTATGTTTGCATTGGTATTATTTGGGTCTCAAATGGAAAGAAAAGAAATCAAGAATCTGCTTAAATTTTGGTAAATGACCTTTTATAAGCTATATTGAAGTCTTTTAGGAAAAGAAAAATGATGTTATTGGGCAAAATATTTTACATGATATTGAAGGAAAAAAAACAAGGAGTCCGAACATCTGACACAAATTCCTAAACCTCACCTAAGTACATCCTTAAGTTTATAGTTTATCTTCATAATTCGGTCATTTTCCCAATTAAATAAGTGATTGCTTTTTCATATAATATCTTCTGATAAATGTAAAGCTTATATAGGAAACTAGTAATAACCGTATTTGATTTATCACAAAGTTGAAGACTCGCCATGCCACAGAGCATTGTCTATCTTCCTTCGTATCATTCTTGCTACAGGTTTTGGTTTATGAAGCAATCCGTTTTCCTTACTTTCCTCCCAAATTCAGATCATATCAAGCCGTGAATGAGGAACTTGACTTAATTTCTGAGCACCTGTAAACAGAAAAGATCTATAATTTTACTTTTTCTCAGCATTTATGTTTGTACTTTTAAAGAAACTCACACGTGCTTGTAATTTAAATAGTGTGTATTCTTAGTCATACCGAGTGACATTCAGACCTAAAAATATTTTTATTGCACCTATCTAACACACTGCTAAATTATATATCTTTGGAAAGGGGAAAATGTTTAGAATTCATTTTGCTCGGTCGTATGGTGCATATTTTTTTCAAACCGGGTCAAAGGTCAGATGCGAAAATTTTCAAAGTTTTAAGAATTATCAGTTTTTCGTAATGTATTAAAGGTGTTTTGGGTAGTGTCGTATGGACCTACAGCTAGGCCTATCCTCATAATGTATCCCTGGTAATATTGTGATTCAAAATTTCATAGCTTGTCTTTAAAATCCTTGCCTTCAAACGTTTTCGATTAAAGCGTGACAGATGAGTCTTTGTAGACGAAACGAGCGTCTAGCGTATAAAATTTAAATCCTGGTATCTATGATGAGTTTCTCAACAAAAGTGTTTGTTACAGAACATTCGTGAAAGATATTGTTGTAAGTTGGAATAACTCTGAAAAGGGTTGTTTAATTCGTGTTGTCAAATCTACTTAATCGATTGTCATTCATATAAAAAAAGAAGATGTGATATGATTGCCAATGAGACAACTCTCCACAAGAGACCAAATGACACAGAAATTAACAACTATAGGTCACCGTACGGCCTTCAACAATGAGCAAAGCCAAAACCGCGCAGTCAGCTATAAAAAGCCCCGAAATGACAAATGTAAAACCTAGCATATCTCACAAAAATGCAAACAGTTCTAAAGGGATTATCATAAGTCGAAAACAAATTGGAAATTAATGCCATGGTAAAAAAAACGAAAAACAACAACAAGACAAACAATTGTACACAAAACAAATCGTAGAAAACACAAAACTGAGCTACATGAACCCCACTAAAGAAAACCGGGCGTAATTGTATGTGCTCCAAAACAGTAAGCAGATCCTGCACCACATGTGGTACCCGTAGTGTTGTTGGTGTTAGTACAAACTGTGTAATACTTATAGATAAATATAACTGACACAATTTAAATATGGAGAAGTTACTGAAATCGAGAACAAGCAAAATGAATATCACGTTCTTGAACACATGTAAACATACAACGTCCAAGAAGCTGATACCTAAAATGAAATCGATATGATATAATGGTCTGGAATAACGGTTACCTTCTTTGGTTTCGCTTGTAACCAAGCAATTTATCGTTTCGGTTTCGTTTTAAGCAGCATACACAAATAAACCTACAACTACCAATTACGTATATGGTCAACTTTGCCTGAGGAAGGTAAAACTTTAATATTATATTTGTATGAACTCAAAGTTCACAAAACATTTATTCCATTTTAATTTGGCCTAAACCACAAATCTGCATAAAACGGGATTAATCAATTATGATAAGCCAGGGGTACTCACAAAGAGGTAGAAAAACAAATAATAGTTTTTCCATGCGCATAGGCACCATTGCTAATATTCATAAAACTGTCATAAATTTTGCCAAATTATGCCAAAATAAACCTGATTTTCCCGAAATTCACATGTATTAAGGATGTCACAAATACATTACTTATAACGGAATTGGTGAAAATCGTTTTAACTTAATCAATTGGACATTTGAATATATGGGTTCACAAAATTATCGCATATAAAAAATTCTGATATTAGGGCCAAAATTAGTTATGTCATAGATAATGCATATTTTAAGGTTTTTCTTGACCGAGGGGTGTCAGGATTAGTCAAATGAAAGACCGACCGTAGGCAGGTCTTTCTTTGGGCAATCCTGACACCCCGAGGTGTGTTATACGACAAGAAAAACCTTAAAATATGCATTATCTGACTTACATACCGTCAATGAATATTATTTTCTGCAAAGATTTGCATAATTTACATGCTATTTTACCGAACACACGAAAGTGGGATATTCTTTTCTGATGGGTTCAGGTTCTAATATGTAATATGCCCTACGGTTCATTTATAATGTGTAATAAAACTCACTAATTAAACTAGATATATAAACGTTAGAAATCATTGTCCAGTTTGAATAGAAATAGTACTGTAACTGCATGAAGCAAGACACAAATGAACTGTTACGGTGTATGAAAAATACAGGTCACTTTGTAAGTAATGTATTGTATCAACTTTATTTATGAAAGAGGGATGTTTTTTTTTGGTTCACTTTGATGACCTTTTTATCGCGGAAAAGCAGATTTTTTTAAAAACAATTTTGTAAACGAACAATTCAGAGTAATTGTTTTCTCTCTTTTGTCGGGCAATACAACTTTTTTTTTATATAAAACTCAGAATTTGAAATACATATTATATCCCCTCCACATTTAAAGTACGTGGCTGTTTTTCTATAGTAATTAAGAATATTAGATCATTTGATCATTAAATAGAGTAAAAGGTATATAAAGATGTTAAAAAAAACTGGCATGAAGAAAGCACGAAATCGTGATACATGTACATGTAACACGAAAAACGAATATCCGTGGTCAAAGTATGATTTTCAATACAAAGTGAATAAATAAGATTTTCAAAATCCTGCACATAATGTGTTAAAACTGGCTTGATTTAAAGTGTTATGAAAATGTTTGCATCATTAAATTCATCTCACATAATGTCCCTTTATTGTATCGATAATTCAACAAAACTTAACATTCTTTGTTTCCGAAGTTAAAATGTGTGTAATTGACGATTTTTGGTATTTCAGTCTAATAAACGGAATAAAGGATTGTTTCTGCCTTAAACCTACGAAATGTGAAAAACTAAAATGTAAACCCTCAATTTGCAACAGCACACATTAGCTATCAAACGAATTTTACTGGGGTAAATGTGATATCCGTAACTGCAGTTACGTATATCCAAAGATGGCGGACAATATTTCTGGTCAATATTTCTTTTGTCAATTCTGTAATAATTATGTATTATTCTTCGGTATTTTGTGTCTTTTTTAACGTATTACTAAATTTGAAACTGAAATACTAAGTGTTTTTTCATAGTTCAACCGGTAAATGTAGAAAACAGCCGTCCAAAATATCGCGATGATATGGGTAACTGAAGTAAATAAATTGTCAATGATATACGTAACTGGAAGTATTAATATCCGTAACTGATTATTTTTTTTAAACAATTCATTCATGTTTGAAATGAAATAAATGTGTCCGGTTATCAAAACTGTAATAAATCGGAATCTGAATTGTTCTGTGAAGTCTTTACAAATATTATGTGAAAATGTATTGATCACGCTACCAAGTCTGTATTTCTATATAGTCAACAGCATCCAAAATGAGCTAGAGAAAGGAATTTGGGTAGCTTATTGCAGATGAAATATGGGTGGCAATCAAGACAAAGATATCGCTTATAACGAAAAAAAGAAAATAATAAAAATACCAAGTTAAATTGAAAGCGGACAGTCCTTTAGCAAATGACAAAATCTAGATATCAAACCCATATTCATAAACTGTCATATTCTTGACTTGGTACAAGCATTTCCTTATGTAGAAAATGGTAGATTAAACTCGATTTTATAGCTAGATAAGCCTCTTGTATGACAGTCGCATAGAATTCCATTATATCAACAACAATTTATGAGCTAAACAAACAGACATGATAGGTAAAAATGTTAGAAATTGGGTTACTACAGTCAACATTGTTTTATAATCTAAATCACTATAAAACAAAATTTAAAACTACTAGTGTTTCAACAAAGAAAAACAAAATTGCATACAGACAATTTAAAGATAAAGTTGATGAGCGAAATTTAAAGGCAAGAGTACAAATTGAACATAGCACCATAACACAATGGCGGAATGTATGAATACTGAGCCACGCCAAAAATTAATCAAACAATAACATAGAGTAACGGTAAACAATATATATAAAGACAAATAAAAGTAGCACTATAACACGTAATTAAGCTGATAAACAACGTCAGTACATAGAATCTAAATTGCATGACCCCCAAGGGTGACTGGGGAATAGAAATATGGTCTCCGTTGGTCTCCCCCTTCTAAAACCATAGCCAAAGTGGGGCGTCCGTTTGGCTCTGCGGGATTTATCAAGTACGCATCCACGTCCAGTCAGAATGAGTACGTTAAATTCGATCCCTCGTGTAGAGAGAGTGCCATGCTCTTTGCACGTAAAGAACCCTTGCAACAACTCGTTGAGGGGTCCATAAGTGGCCTGTAGCAAGGCCAAATTTCCGTCCCTATCCAATTTACCATAATTTTCCCGCGGCAGTTCAAATTTCCCCGATCTTCATTTCGGACGGCCTCTATTGTAAGACCTACCTACTGTATCTATTTTTAACTTTATCTCGACCTGAACATATATAAAAAAAGAAGATGTGGTATGAGTGCCAATGAGACAACTCTTTACAAGAGACCAAATGGCACAGAAATTAACAATTATAGGTCACCGTACGGTCTTCAACAGTGAGCAAAGCCCATACCGCATAGTCAGCTATAAAAGGCCCCGAAATAACAAATGTAACACAATTCAAACGCGTCAACTAATGGCCTTATTAATGTACAAAAAAATTAACGACAAACAAATATGTAACACAGCAACAAATGACAACCACTGAATTACAGGCTCCTGACTTGAGACAGGCAAGTACAGAATGTGGCTGGATTAAACATGTTAGCGGGCGCCCAACCTTCCCCTAACCTGGGACAGTGCTGTAACAGTACAACATAAGAACAGACTATAAAAATTAGTTGAAAAGGCTGAACTCATCAGGTGGATACAAATAAAAATAGATCTAACAAAACACTGAATGGACGTGGGAGGGTATTTGTACATCCCAACAACAGAAAGACACTAAAAAGCTAGTTCAAAACCAATAAAAACTAATAAAAAAAATTATGCATCTAAGACTAAATTATCAATCATTACACATCCAATGATTTAGTGTGAAGACGTCATAAACAGTGGCATGTTTCTAATGTTGTAATAAGATTGTAGGCATACATTTTTTTTCAATTTCCGATAATTTCTAATCTTTTGACGAATTTATAACAGCTTTTTTTCCGAGAAAATGTTCGTCCGATCTATTAGATCGAGGATAATGAATGAAACAGAAACAACGAAACTCAACAGTTACGGATATCCTTTTCTAAACGTTTATTACAGTTACGGATATCAGAGTATACAGTTACCCATATCCTCGCGTTTTTTGGACGTCTGATTTCTCCATTTAGCGGTTGGACTATGAAATGAAAATCTTTGTATTTGTATTTCAGTTTCAAACTTAGTAATACGTTAAAAAGACACGAAATACCGAAGAATATTACATAATTATTGAAGAATTGACAAAAGAAATATTGACCAGAAACATCGTCCGCCATCTTTGGATATACGTAACTGCAGTTACGGATATCACATTAACCCCAGTGAATTTAATGTTCGAGTAAATTAAAGTTTGCATTTTAACCAGGAAAAATAATGACCTTATACAGGTCATTATTGTATGCCTTGAAGCAAATTTCATTGAAACTTGGTATCGTCCGGGTTGAATCTTCAAAAGAATGACCTATCGTTCTGAAAGAAAATAACTCCGTATAGGTATATAAAGTCATTTAACTGCTTTCACATCACAAAAGTTATAGGAGTTAATGTCATGCATTAAATTCTAATTTTAAATTTTTAAAAGTTGAGAACATACAATCGATTGTCAAAGACACGGTCTTCATACTGGGTCTCGAAGAAGGCATAACATTTCATGTTTCCTTTCTTTGAAGTAGATCAAAGGTAAAACCCACTTGGTTATTTTGTAAAATATGTTCCTTATCAGAACACGACTGCAATTTTTTTTCTTATAATACATTTTTTAGCTTGTTTTTTGACTTCAGAAACTTAAGGAATATAATTTCCAATTGAATTCAATTTTAAAGATTTCATTAAAATAGAAACTGAGAAAAACGTAGTTAGTTATATAAATATAATATGTTTCAGAATATGTCCCTATGTTTGAAAAAAAAGGTTTTACAAATGAAGCCACAGTTATAATGGATGCAAGTAAGACATCGCCTACATCAATTGGTCTGGTTGCTATAGTACCGTCAACAGAACTGATTTATCAGCGTAGTTCTCCAGGTAATACTTTGCACCAAACTTAATGCGGGTTATGTGCTGCCCGTAGAATCAGTTTAAACTATTGCAAAAAATGTAGACTAAAATATGACTCACAAAATCACAGTGGAATTTTTCGACTTGGTCAAGTTATTAGCTAACATTATTAACATGACGGGGGTTTATCAAACACTTTCAAACGCTTACAATAAATCAGGGACAGTTGATAATATAACTTGGTCATTATGATACTAAAATGAACCCAATGTGGACTGATGCATTTCTGATTAGCATAAGTATTAACGTACCATGCATACACCACATTTTAAAGATCTGCTGAAATGTATGCATACTATAAGGTTAGGTGCCAAACGGTATGCAAACTTAAAGTTAAAAATCAACGATGATCAATCTATCGAAAAGTACATGAAATTCAGTCACAGCGGTCAAACATTCACAGAAAAAACTACCAATAGTCATTATTGTTAGTGATGATGTTCACGAAAACTCTTAAAGAGAAAAGCATGTCCTCAAATTTAAGTATGTTTTAAAAAACGGGTTGCGTTTTCAATAATAACTTATAATATTCAATCACACATTTGTACCTTTGAAAATTGTTATCTTATATTTTTAGGACAACGTGATGGAAATTATGTTGAAACTGACATTTACAAACGTATAGATGGAATGCGAGTAAGCGGGAAAGAATGCAGGAAGACAGCTCTGTCATATTCTCTTCTTGTTTACGCTGCACTACGAGGGTCGATATCATTAGGACAAGAATATTCGCCTGAATTTACTGAAATAGCAAAATATATAAACGACTCAGAACATGTTTTGGTTAGCTCAATCAAAAACACTTTAGAGACGAAGCTTTTTCCAGCCTTTTTAACAAAAGTGGGCAATAGTACCTACAGTCCACGAGACAAGGCTGTCGCAAAATCAATCATACATTCGTTTGGAAAAAAGTTTGAGGAGTGTTTATTGAAGTTTTGTAGTTTTGATATTCTCTTTGATCACGTGCGCTTTAGGGAAGTGAATGAAAATGGTGACTTGCTTGAAGTCGATTCTGAAATATTGGCCAACTCTTTTTTTTGGCGAATTCAGTTTAAGCAGGGTGATGCCTATTCAATTGGTCAATTCATGGGAAAGTTGGGAAAAGAAATAGATTGCAAAAAATTTAAATTATTTGTAAAAAAATTGCGACAAGGTAACGGTGATATAACATTTTACCACATGAACTCTTTGCTAGATGGCCTTACAAGGGAAGGTACTAACTTTGATGTTTTCAGTAAGTTACCAACACTATACGACGCATTTGAACGCAAAGTTGACAACTACCAAAATACAATATTTCATTTTATAGTTGCACTTTATTCGAGAAACGAAAATTACAAAACGTATATGCAACACTTTTGTGAGAAGAAATTTGTGCTGTTGCAATTTGAAAACTGTGAAAGACATACAGCTATAGATTTCGCTTCGTTGCTTGGGAGAAAGGAAGTTATTGCAATTGTAATACGCAGTGTGAGTTTTAATCGTCCAGGGATGACCAACAGGATTATCGAAATGGTTACAAGAGGTGTAGAAATATGGCAAATGCCAAATGCAAGAGTAGATAATCTTATAACGATTTCATTGAATAATGTTGCCCAAGGAAGTAGTCTCGATTATACGGAAATTGTGAGATTAATTGGCAATGATTCTGACACTCAGGCGGTAGATGATGCTGAAAGAACAATAGATATATTTAGCCGCAATATCCCAATTGCTGTTTCTGCTATTTCAGAATTGATCAGAATTTTCACAGGTGGATCTACAAGATAACAACGATTTAGAAGCAGAAATAACTAAATATTGAGTTTTATTGCAAGTTCACGAAAGGAACTGTTATATTCAATGCATTAACCGTACTACATGTGTTTGTCTCTGTCTGTATGTTATTTAAACAAGCAATGATACATTTTCATTATCTTTGTTAAACTGAACGGCACCTTGCTTGTATGTCTTCGTATACTTTATTATCCTTATGAGAAGTTGAAATGTCATTCTGGTAAAGAACCTTTAGTCCTAGATACATGACTTTTTTATTAGTTGTTTTTGGCTTTGAACTAGCTGTCAGTAACTGCGAGTATACTCTCAGATCTGTACTTAGCGTCTTCTTGTTGTGGGGATGTATAAGTACTCGTCCACGTTCACTCTGTGTTTTTGTTAGATGTATTTCTATTTGTATCCATCAGATAACTTAAGCTTTTTCAACTGATTTTTATAGTTTGTTCTTATGTTGTACTGTTACACCACTGTCCGAGGTTAGGGTTGGTTAGTGCGAGTTTAACCCCACAACATTCTGTATTTGAACCTTTTTATATTATTTCATAAGTCAGTGAATAATGCTAAGTAATAAAGCACACACATAACATTTAGATCTGGATAGACTTTAACTCACTTGAAAAGCTAAAACAAAAAATAATTGCAAAATGTTGAAATTATTTTTTAATTCATCTTTCTATGAGTAGCAAGTTGACAAGATTTTTTGTTCCACGATGACAATGTACTTTTCCATTTGTCTTTACACTTTCCAGACAGATTGCATTTGGTTGTCCCATTTTAATCGTAAAAACATCAACAACTTTTCATGTGTATCTTGACAATTAACGTATGCTTTCGTGCAGTATATTATATCTCATGTATGAAGTAACATAGTTCGTCTGAAAATTTTAGACTATAGCTAGTGTAACGCGTCGCTGTTGGCTCGTGTAACCCCTAGAGCAACAAGAACAGTTCCGGGGCATACCCTAGAGAAACGCTTTGAAGTTTGTTCGCACACCTTTGAAACAACACGTTATAGTTTTGGGGTGTACTAAAGAGCAAAAAATTACAAAATAAGCATACATGAAAGCATCACGTTGCCTGTGTTATGCCCACCATAGAGTAGCACCTAACAGTGTATAAATGAAAGAGTGCTTGAAGTGCAAATTCCATACTCGAATTAACCATTTCCGACATTGCAACATGAGAAATATTTTCTACCTAGTTTCCGGCCATTTTTTAAATTTCTTTATTATCGTATTTCAAAAAACTGATGATGGCTATTCGTCATTGACATGCAGGCTCTGAAAAATTAACCTCTCTAACATGGGCACTTTTTTCATACTTGAAGTCCCCGTTTGAAATTTAACTTGTTTAACATATTCTTAAATACGAGTTCAATACAAAAAAATATCAGGGATATGGTTGAATGCAAATAACTAAATAAGTGCAATATTTATCATGCATTAATTGTTCTAATATATACGCAAACGAAGTGATACGCGTTGCTCTGGTGTGCACGAACCAATAGTTGTTCACGCGTACGGGACGATGTAACCTGTTTCTTAGCATGAACAAACGATCTGTTCCGCGTTGCTCTGGTATATATGCACGAACGGACAGTTATGAGTGTCTCTCGTGTACGGGATGGTGTAACTTGTTTCTTTAGTATGCGCAAACGAATTGTTACACGTTGATGTTGTATGCACGAACGAAAAGTTATGAGTGACTCTCGCGTATGGGACGGTGTAACCTGTTTCTTAAGCAAGCTATCTGTTAAGCGCTGCTCTTGGGGTACACGAACCACAGTTCCTCTAGTGTTGTTCCAGCTTACATGTCAAAATTTTATTGCTAACCGAACGGCACTTTTAATAGGGGGTCATGGATTCAATTCGAGAATCGGTCACACAAAAGATTTAATTTATGATTGGCATTTATTGCATCTCTGCCTATCACAAAGCATTTCGAGATTAAAAGCAAAGATAAGTCGACTCAAAGTTCGAATAATGTGGCTGGTTTGTGGGTTAACATGATAGATAATTAGTTCAGTCCTTTGGTCTAGCATAAAGCCGGGTATGTTCAAATCTTATTAAAATATTTACGTGTTGGCATAATGTCATTCGCGTATAATTGTTAACCTGATCATTTGTAAATATTGAAATGTAGTATGTTTCTTCTGTGTATTCGGGTATCTTTAAGGTAGCTGGGGTGTCTAAATGTTCAACGATAGATTTGTTCTAAAACTTCTATAAAAGACTTCTGAGTCAATGTACTGTCGAATTTTAATATACAAACGGTGGGTCACATATCACTTTTTTTCGTTAAAATACATTGAAATAAACGAAATTACAGTTATTCTATATGGGTAACATAGGGGAAAAAATAGAGGAAACATTAAACAAAAGTATTGGTTAAAATTCAATGAGATAATTCCTTTTTACAAATACTTCCGAAATATCAAATAAAAATAAGGGGTCACGGGTTTGCCGAATCCAAAATCAAAAAACCACAAATTGTTCTTTCAAATTCAACATGTTACCTTTGTTTTTAAACGGATTTGTTTTCTGAAAATTTTGAAAACACTTAATTACACTTTATTTTTCAATAGTTTAGTCTTTAAATTTCAGTAGGGTTTCTTTCTTTTTGAAAACTTATGTAAAATATATATAAGCGAGTAACATGGATAAAGTTGCATGTTATTGTACGTGAAATAGTATCAATTTTATTAAAAGTGTCCAGTTGTCTTAAATTTATCGCACACAAAGTAACATTGGTGTATCTCATATGCAAAACTTGGAGGTTAAAAAATAACACAAAAACAATCCAAGGATACTATATAAATCCTTAAGATATCAACTACTTGTATTTTTTCTACAATCCTTTCTAGATAAGTGTTTTACTAAAATATCTAATACATTTCATATTTGAGTATTATAGTCTACACTGTTGTTTTTTTTTTTTCCTTATTCTAAGAAATAAAGTTTGCTTCATTATTCAGTCTCGTCGTTATTTTTCATTATGTTGAATAAATTGAAACATCACTTCGCAAGTCATTTATTTAAATTCAAAAATTTCACAGATGAAAAAAAAACTTTAAGCAACAATATGAAACCTGTTTTAAAAGAGTCCGCTGAGTGTCGTCTGTACATTTTATTGTCAAATTTCTACACTACAAATGTAAGATGTAAGTAAAGCTCAAACTTATATGCAATAAACTATTTGTAATACGGTAATTAGAGGTCAGATATATGAATTATTTGAGATGTGAGTTATACGTCAATACGACAGCAATCCAACGATAAAAATAACATAAAGACGTCTACAGATCAATATACAGTATACAACAGTAGTTAGTTAACTCTTAATAGTCCAGAGTCAATAAAAGTTATTATTAATTCAAATGATAATTATATATACTAGGAAACTTTAATGGGAGTGTCATCAAAACCAAATTTTCACAAAACAAATACATTCAGATACTAGTACCCCTAACAAGTTTCTAGACTTTGGTCAGGATTATGATTATGTGACGGGTTTAGCTATTTTTTTATGTGCTAGAATCAATTTTCAACATATCTTAAAACAACATCAGAATACCACAAGTGAAAATTCTATACTTTGTTTTTTTTAAATATAAGAAATACATTTTCACCCTTTTTCCTTCTGTTTGGTGACGAACTTGGATAATGCTACCCTTTTATCATGTCCGGGTGATCCGTAGGTGATTTGATACAAAGCCAAATGCCCTGCCAATTATCATGGTCCAACTACCTTTGAGAAGCTACTTCTATTCATATTTATTGTATAGTTGGTGATTGTCGTTAGTGTGCGTTCCGCCGAAAGTTAAAAAAAAAACAAAGAACTAATCACACTTTGGATTGGATAATTATTGATGTACCAAAAAACAATTGCCAATTATGATTGATTGATTGATTGATTGAATGTTGGTGTTTAACGACACTCAGAGTGAAACGCACCTGTCACATGCGTGGTTCCAACACACAAACTTAGTGTTGTCAGTCTAATGATACTGTACTAATGAACTACTTTGACATCTTGGCTACCTTTGCCCCTGAAAAGATAGATGTAGATAAAAACAAATCTTTGATGTTGTTTCACATCGTGGCAATTGCTGGACGATATTCAATGATGAGTGAATAGCTGACATCTTTTTGCAAAGTCAAGTCTTTCTCCAGCGTCGACTTCAGCGGTACTCTTTGGTAATTCATCAGTAACCGTTCTGTATGTTGTAAACTACATTGATCATTTCTCATCTCCACAAAGTGTCGTTACATTTTACGAAGCACCTGTCTTAGGAATGTTTTCAAGTTTTATTTTTCTAGAGCTCAGCTTTTCTGAGCGATTTATTTTTAGATCTACCGTGCAGATTTAATCTGGATGACGATTGTACATGCCTTGATACCACTTTCTAAATGCCGATGGTTTACCGTTTGTCTACACCCACAAAACATGAAATACTTCTTACCGTTAATAACGGTAATAATTAAAAGTATCTTACATATAAGTCCATAAAATCGGATATATAGTTATCACGGCTATTAATAGCTGTCGAAGACAATATTGATACATCATTCCAAATTTTACGTTTTTTTGTAAAATTTTGAATTGTTGATATCTGCAACAAAATTCAATACATTTTGACCTCATTTCATAACGATTAGACACCGACCATTAATCGTTTGTCGAAGTAGGATGAGCTTTTTTCGATGGACAAAAATACAACTACATGATTTGTTGCTGAAACTCGATGTTGTATTTATTTTCCCTTAATTTTAAATGGAAACAAAGTGTTTTTCTCACTTCTCTCCTTAATCAAACATTTTTTTAATCAAACAATCAATCTATGGAACATCCACACGCACAAAATATAGATTGTCGGTGTCTTAGTTTTATCACAATCAGATGTAAAATACATGATAAAAACACTATATATCTTCAACATGTTTTCCACAAAATACTCTTTCGTTTTGCGTCATTTTCCAGATTAACAGACTTGTACTATGGAAGCCGATTGACAGTTAGCATTAAGATATTGACACTTGTCTATCTTTAAGCAACGTATGTCGACCGCGGGGTGTATTCTTTGTGTGTTTGTGTTTTTTTTTTTTTTTATTATTATTTTTACCTCTGTCTGTCCGTCCGTCCGTCAGTCCGTCCATCTGTCCCATGAATATTTTTCGTCGCCGAATCTTCCTCATGAACGACATCAAAAGGATTTCTGAAATTTGGTTACAGGGTTTATATAAGTCAGCTATACCGTGTGATGCATTTTGAGATTCATCATTCAACAGCTTCCTGTTTACCGAACACGTACATCATTTTACACACGAGTAGCCAAGTTGAAAATTTTCGTCACATTTTTCTTAGGAACTACAATACAAGGATTTCTGAAATTTGGTTTCAGGGTTTATATAAGTCACCTATACCGTGTGATGCATTTTCAGATTCATCACTCAACAACTTCCTGTCTACCGGAACATTTGGGCGGGGGTATCATCAGTGAGCAGTTACTCGCAGTTTCACTTGTTTTTTTTGTGTTTTTTGTCTCTCTAATTCATACACACACACTCCTTTTGGTCATAACGACGTACGCTATGCAAGTGATTGTGACTTAACTCTAATATGAAACTGACCAATTCGTGATGCATCCTTTAAACCATCACGGTAACATTAATGTTTTCTGCATGCATGTAACAAAATATAGAATACCTAAAATCACGGACGTTTAGTTTAATCGACGACAACGAAGCATTTAATGCGAGATGAAATGAAGGCATAATGAGTTTTAATTGCAAAAATGATAGTACTTCTTAAATGAGCAAAAATGCAGTATGACCCACCTGCTCTCCTAAATGTCTACAGGTAAGTCCGTAAAATTCTTGGAACGAACTGTGAATTCGAACAAAAAAAATTATCAATGTAGTTGTTGGTACGTTTCTCTACACAAACTACCAATAATCAGTTTTAGTGTCAGCTTTTGGAATTCCAATTTCAGAACAAACTCTTATAAAGTGGTTTGTGCCCAGACATCACATATTTATCAGCTGCTACAAAAGAGCTCGTTATATACTTTTCGAAACTTTGTTTATATAGCTTCTTAGTGAACAAGTACACTTATCCGATGTCCATCATCTTAATAGGAGACAACAGTTAGCGGCACATTAAAAAAGGCATCCAAAAACAAAATCTTTTGGTTTTCAAACTCATTAAAGGAGTTGAGGACAGACAAAAGTGGTTTATGGTCACATATAATGAGAAGGTCCCCAACTAACAAGTTGGATTAAAAAAAAATGATTCCAATCCTAAGTAAGGTTTTGTGGATACATAAGATGACTGACTTACACTCGTACACTCAGCATTCTTAGAAGCAGTGTTCATATGTTTACTATCATTCCGGAACATTAGAAAACGACATTGTATATAACATGTATCAATATTTTAAGGGAACACGAATTTAAAAGGAACACAAATTTAAAAGGAACACAAACCCGGTCATTTCAGTCATTTCAGTCACTCTTTTTTTCTGTTATAATTGCATTACATGTATTTTTATTGCCTGACATCAATCGAGAGGCATTCTAAAATCAGATTTTGTTGTTAAAAAAAAAATCAACATTTATGACAGCAGTTGTTTCACGTGAAAACGTAACAACAATGCACATGGAAACAAACGAAAAATCAATTGTAAACATTGGGTTGATCGTGTGCACATTTTAAGTATGAAGCGCTTCCGAGCTTCAAACAAAACGTTCTTCGGTCAACGCTTTTACACCCCAATAAAATCCCAGAAAGAAGCATTCAATTCTTAAGTAAAATTGGTGAAAACGACAGAAATATGACCAAAAGCTCTTAGTTCTTGTTTGAATAACTGTATTGGTAGTGTGGATATTCAAATGTCACATTTGAAAATAATCTAGAAATTAAACAAGAGGCTCTCAAGAGCCTGAATCGCTCACCTGTAATTTTTTGCTTAAATCTTTCATCAATGATTATTTTTGCTTTTTGATATATATTAATGAGTGGCTTAAAAATTCCATTGAAATTTTCTTTGTATCTGTCATATTTTCTTCAAAAGCAAAGAAATACATTTTACCCCTATGTTCCATTTTAGCCATAGTGGCTATGTGTCTTGACGTACAAGAAAATAAAATTCAAAATTTATACTAGATACTCTGAAACTCATTCAGCCCAAGTTTGGCTGAAATTGATTCAGCAGTTTCAAAGGAAAAGATTTTTTAAAGTAAGCAAACTAGATGAACAAATTGTGAAAAATTGTCTTTAAAGGGCAATAACTCCTTAAGGACACATTTGACGATTTTGGTCATATTAATTTACTTGTAGATTTTACTTTGCTGACCATTTTTGCTGTTCACAGTTTATCTTTATCATTAATAATATTCAAGATAATAACCAAAAACTGCAAAATTTCCTTAAAATTACCAAATTAGTGGCAGCAACCCAACAATGGGTTATTAGATTCATCTGAAAATTTCAGGGCTGATAGAACTTGACCTAATGAACACTTTTACCCCATGTCAGATTTGTTCTAACTCCTTTGGTTTTTGAGATATAAGCCAAAAACTGCATTTTACCCCTATGTTCTGTTTTTAGCCATAGCGGCCATGTTTTTGACGAAACAGAAAATAAAACATAATCTTTATTCTAGATACCCTACGGATCATTCAGCTGAAGTTTTGTTGGAATTGCTTCAGTAGTTTCAGAGGAGAAGATGTTTGAAATAGTTTACACCAGACGGACGACGACTGACAACGACGGACGCCAAGTGATGGCTAAAGCTCACAGTTCCGGTGAGCTAAACACGGGCTATATTTAGGTTACTCACATTTCTAGAATTTAAAACAAACAAAGGTTGCTCGCAAAGCCTTTTTGTTTGTACCGACCGACAAAACAGCCAACAAAGTGTTGGTCCGTGTGGTCCATCGTGAGTCAAATAGTCAACACTCATATCATAACCATATTTTATCATATTGCCCGTCAAATTTCGTTTCATCTTGGCTTTTGTCGGAATCTAGTAACTGTTACAATTATTCTTTCAGAGCTGTTGCCTAGTTCCAAGACATTTATCAAATTGGCCTAATTTTCATGTTTCAGTGACTACTTGAACACGTTTAATTTTTGATGAGTAAATCAGGCGAGACATTTCGGCGTGAAGACTCTTTGTTTAATTTAATAGTCAATTGAAAATAGGTTTGCAAATTTAGTTGCTGAAACTCGTATGGATGTTAAAAATAAGAAAATGAGGTGTGATTGCCAAAATGCAATCAGACAACTATCCACCAAAGTTAAAACTTATTCATATAAAGCCTTCTTCTGTAATGAAAATAGGAAAAACTATATACTAGATATACTTTCTGGAAATGTGATTAGATGAGGGTCGTAATTGGGGTGCCGTCATGACGAATAACGGTAAACGGTAATTTTTGGTACATGACGATAAAATGTACACGTTCTTTTAGACGATAAAAAAATCGACTGATTTTGACGAATCGCGTTAAATTTTTTCCAAAAAAAAAAAAAAAAAAAAAAAAACGATAATTGTTTGAGACCTCTGACGAATAACCATAATGATACTTTGACGAATCACGGTAAAATTTTAAACAATTTGACGCTAAAGAAAGTCGAAAATGACCGTTTGGCCCCTGATGGTAAAGGGCACTCATACTTTTAGATAAACACAAATTTCCATGCGTGTCTGTCTTAAGTCGAGAGCCTGTGATTCAGTGGTTGTGCTCATGATTTGTTTGTTTTTTTTCCGTTTTGTATACGTACATAAATCCGACTCATGATTTTCTTGTTTGAATATCTTTTACAGTTTATCACGGCAGGGCCTTCCAACGCTTACTATGCAATATGTGTTTTGCTCATTGTTGAAGGCTCTTTAGTGACATATAGCTGCTTTTATCTGCCTCCTTTGGTCTCTAGTGGATATATGTCCGAAGGGAGATAGTAGTCTTTAAGTAACTGGGAGTGCTCTTAGATCAGTTTTTTTTTATTTGTGTTTGTGCTTAGTACTTATCTAATGAGTCAAGCCCTTTCAAAATGATTTTTACAATTTATTATTCACCCCTCATTAGAGTAGAGGTTGAGTGCTCCCAAACATGTCAAACCCGGCCAAATTCTTTATGGGCCTGCTCTCAACAATGGATATGTAATCAAGCTGTGTTTGTTTTCAACTTGTTATTGGTTGCTGTCACCCTTATTTGTTATTTTGTTATTGTTCATTTTTATTGTATAAATAAGGCATGTGTTTGTATTTCTAGTTGTTTAATTTTTTTCCTACCAAAATAGTTATAGCTTAATTTACGGTATGGGTTATGTTCATGGTTGGTCTTACCATGAGCTGTAATATATACGACATGGGTTTTGTTTATGGTCTTACCATGAGCTGTAATATATACGACATGGGTTTTGTTTATGGTCTTACCATGAGCTGTAATATATACGACATGGGTTTTGTTTATGGTCTTACCATGAGCTGTAATATATACGACATGGGTTTTGTTTATGGTCTTACCATGAGCTGTAATATATATGACATGGGTTTTGTTTATGGTCTTACAATGAGCTGTAATATATACGGTATGGGTTTTGTTTATGGTCTTACCATGAGCTGTAATATATACGATATGGGTTTTGTTCATGGTTGGTCTTACCATGAGCTGTAATATGTACGACATGGGTTTTGTTTATTGTTGGTCTTACAATGAGCTGTAATATATACGGTATGGGTTTTATTTATGGTATTACCATGAGCTATAATATATACTATATGGGTTTTGTTTATGGTCTTACCATGAGCTGTAATATATACGACATGGGTTTTGTTTATGGTCTTACCATGAGCTGTAATATATACGACATGGGTTTTGTTTATGGTCTTACCATGAGCTGTAATATATACGACATGGGTTTTGTTTATGGTCTTACCATGAGCTGTAATATATACGACATGGGTTTTGTTTATGGTCTTACCATGAGCTGTAATATATACGACATGGGTTTTGTTTATGGTCTTACCATGAGCTGTAATATATACATGGGTTTTGTTTATGGTCTTACCATGAGCTGTAATATATACGACATGGGTTTTGTTTATGGTCTTACCATGAGCTGTAATATATATGACATGGGTTTTGTTTATGGTCTTACAATGAGCTGTAATATATACGGTATGGGTTTTGTTTATGGTCTTACCATGAGCTGTAATATATACGATATGGGTTTTGTTCATGGTTGGTCTTACCATGAGCTGTAATATGTACGACATGGGTTTTGTTTATTGTTGGTCTTACAATGAGCTGTAATATATACGGTATGGGTTTTATTTATGGTATTACCATGAGCTATAATATATACTATATGGGTTTTGTTTATGGTCTTACGATGAGCTGTAAAATATATGTTATGGGTTTTGTTTAAGGTCTTACCATAAGCTGTAATATATACGGTATGGGTTTTGTTTATGGTCTTACCATAAGCTGTAATATATACGTTATGGGTTTTGTTTATGGTCTTACCATGAGCTGTAATATATACTGTATGGGTTTTGTTTATGGTCTTACCGTGAGCTGTAGTATATACGGTATGGGTTTTGTTTATGGTTGGTCTTACCATGAGCTGTAATATATGCCATATGGGTTTTGTTTATGGTCTTACCATGAGCTGTAATATATACGGTATGGGTTTTGTTTATGGTTGCTCTGACCATGAGCTGTAATATATACGATATGGGTTTTGTTTAAGGTCTTACCATGATCTGCAATTGTTCACATCTTAGTCTTTTGGTCGTTTCTGATAGTGGTCTTATTTGCAATCATACCAAATCTCATTAATTATATTTTATATAGCATTTCTATTCATACTGTATGTTCTGAACCCATCTTTTTCTTTCATGGAAAGGTCTGTTTTGCACAACCAGCAGTTTCGTCAATACTATTTTAACCTATTATTACCATCCATTTTACCATTTTTTACAGAAAGCATGTGCTAACATTTTAAGATGATCTTGTGTATATCAGTTTCCAAGACATCTACTTGTAATCATACCGAGCACTGGATTCAAATTGAACATGATGAAACAAACAAAAATAGTTCATGTAAAAGATATAAAATTTATTGTTTTTAAATTTCATTCTTTGTACAATATTTTAAAATTTGTAATTATCAACAGTCTTCTATATCTTAATATATACAAATATACAAATTTCTGCCAGATTGTAAAATTCATTGTTCTTGTGGCTAAAACATATATTACTTAATTTTGCATACCTTTTACTAGCATGTCTGGTTCATATTAGACATGCATCCATTTTGCATAGCTTGTTATTGCCTCTTTTAAGTAAACAGGGTTTAAATGTTTAGGTCAGTGGTCTGGGCTCTTACAATATTGCTTAAGAAACTTTTTTAATTTTACAATTTAAGTGTAAAATTTTCAATTTTTTGGGATAAGGATTCATATAGCTAGTTAATTGTTTATCAGAATTTGGCCAAATTTTTTTTTACCACTACTTTACATTTCATGTCTACATTAAAAAATCATTGAAATTTTTGCTTGCAAAATATCTATTCTGTGTATCTTATAAACAAACATTCATTTTAATATTCATGTTAAAGTGCTTGAATTTCATAGTGCAATAGAACAACATTTTGCATAAATAGGTCAGATTTCCCCCCTCCATCCCCATCATGACTTTCACAGCTAAAATTCATCAAAACAGTTTGGGGTAAGGAAAAAATTAGGGAAAGTCAGACAATCAAATAAAATATATCTCTTTTTAAATTTTGCCTTATAAATGAAAATTCTAAGTATTTGCTAGATATAATTTTGTAAATTGTAATAAACTCTTTAAGTGTTGGTTAATCTGGAAGTACATTTAATCTAATCTTATGCCCATCTTGATGACAATGTAAAGACTCAATTGCTTGCATTGCAGTATTTAAATTTTCCTTTTTGTGACTCTTGTCACAAGGCTTTGGTACTTGTACTGTTCAAATAAAGATGATTTGTTTTTTTCTATTATTAAAGTGGTAGAATATGGAAAATAATTAATGTTTAGAATTTTAAAGCCTGGTAAAAAATATTATTCATTCTTATAACTTATGAAATCCTTAGAAGGCAAGATTAGCCATTTACATTGCAGACAGAGAAAAACACCTTGATTCACCATGGTGATCAGCTTATTAAGTGTGATTTATTAACATGAAATTTTTTTCTGTACATTTTTAAAAAGAAAAGAAAATGTGATTTTGAAATTGAACTATGCGAAGTATATCAAGTTTTCATTCTTTTACTATTTTTAGGGCAATTGTCAATCTGCTATTAAATCAAATTAAACAATCAGAAAATTTCAATACAGTTAATAAAAATATTCTTATCACTTATGAAAAAAGGTTTCCATTGAAATAAATATTACCTCTGTCATCTTTTGAAAATTTTCTGAAGGAATTTTCTGAAATTCTTTCTAAATAATGACAAGATTATGGCAAAACCTGAGACATTTTTCTTCTTAACCATTTGGATGTTTCTGAGTATGCTGCTTTAAATGCTATTTCATTTACATAATGTGTGTCAAAAAGTTATACAGTCCTTTAACATAAGAATTTGTTCACATGCGTCCAAATACCAACAGTTTTGACTATGGTTAGCAGCTGATTATACCAACATTCTATCAAAAAACAATGTGTATGAATTCCTGGTAAAAACAAGAGTAACTAGATTATGATTGACAAATTGTTACTTGCTAAACATCCATTGGAAAATGTTTCATGAATATTCAGGAGAACAAATTACCTATTGATACAATAGTAATATTCTGAAAGAAAAAGTTCAACCAAGACAAGGAATAGATTTTTTTAGACTGTCAGGGTATGTTGGATTAAGGGCAGAGATTTTGCCTTGAAACAGGCCATCTAGGATCACTCTGAGAGTTGTAGCAAAATATTTTAATGTACAGAGAGGTGGTACTGGCCCTAAAAAAACTGTGTGAATTTACATATTTATTTCAACTTTTGTAATTTAACCATGTTGACTGCACCACAATATGTCAGAGACAAAATCTAGTTGCATATATGGACTCAAGTGACCAAAGCATAAAATGGTTAGTCCAGCCAGTCTTCAAGCATCATGGACTCTTTTTAGTCAGAGCAGTCCTAAATTTAAACAGTCATAAAAAAAAAATAACCAAAGATCAGTAAATGCCAATTAAATGATTTGATAATTCTAATTCTAAATTTTAATTCATTAAAAAAATCTACTCATGTAAAGTATAAATTGTATACAAACTCAAAAAGAAATGAAAAAATTAAACTTGAAAATATTTGAGGGTTGTCCCATTAAAATATTTTAACTGCAAGATCATATTCAGGAAAGTCATTTTAAAATTGGGAGACACTCAAAGAGATTTTCAAAGCATTTCTTAGATGTATTTCGTATTTTAATGGAACAATCTTGACAGGTGAACAAATTAAATGCAAAAACAAAATTAAAAGGAATTAACAATAAATAATGAGGTTTTCTACTATATTTGTCCATACATTTTTCTCATGTTTGTTTTAAAAGTAAAACTAATTCAATGAAGGGGAGATAACTACAGAAATTTTAATACCAGATTTACTGACACAATGACCCCAATTATGGATCAGTCATCTATAAATATAATTAAATAGCAGGGATTCAGTAACAACACCTCTACAATATGAGGTACAGCAAACTGAATTCCTGTCATATGATTTTACCTGGTACCAGTTAGCAGCAATATTTGGTGTACTTAGCTGAACAAACATTGTAAAACCCCCTTTTTAAAACAGAATAAATGAACATTTTGTTTTGTACCACCTGAATTCTATGCCTTATAATTATAAAATGCCCTTTAACTAAATTCAGACACATTAGAGGAAAATAATTTTACTTTGAAAAGTTTTCTTGAATTTGCAAGTAAATCAGTATTTTTTGGTATATTTAGATTAAAGAAGTTCCAACATTTCCGTGTAACTATAAAAAGCACATAGACGGCTTACATGATGGAAGCGATAACTTTAAAACCATGACCTTGCTTATATGTTTATGAAATCTTCTAAAAATTGTTTTGTACTAAAGGTAAAATTAACACAAGAATTAAGCTGCTTAGATACATGTACTTCCCTAAAACATTTACTTTGAAAACAAACATACATTTCATTCAGGGATAATAAAAAAATTAAAACTCCATTACTTAAGATCTATCCTGAAAATTTAATGCCCAATATTACATCTAGGAATACAGTACTGTACACACAGAATGATTCAGTTCACTCTTGGTGGAGATTTTTCACAGTGAATGTGTGTGATGTCTTAAAAAAATACAAATATTTCATAGATCTTAATCAACAGTATCTTAAACATGTTTAATCAGTGTTATCACCTTAAATCACCAACAATCATTCTCTTTTATAAAGTGAACCACTGAACACCAACCAGAGTGGTCTTTGACTGAAACATCTTGTGAGTACTGTACATAAACCACAGTTACTTATCTTTGACGAGTACACTTTGATACATTACTTTAATAATAATATACATGTATAACATGTATTTAAAAGAAAGTTTGTAAAAAATTTATATATATAAATATATATAAGTGAGTAAAAAGACTGCATTTTAAGATGAATCAACATGAATAAGATGTAGATAAAATTGCAAATAAAAGAGAACAATAACTTAAAATGTATACATATGTAAAATCCAATTGTTCCAACTAATTACCTGCTTTTAATTATCTCATCACAAATATAAAGAAAGATATGGTTGGTTTTAACAGAAAACAAATCAACCGTTTCAAATTCAAGTCAAAATGAACACATAAATTTATATATTAAACATCCACATTTTCTTTGCTTCCAAATTTGATGACGAATTTTAGGTTAAAATTCATTTTAAAAACTATACTTGATTCAATGATAAACTTAAAACAATTTCAATAAAATGACCCGATAAAGATGCCAGAACTTTTCATGAAAAGAAAATGTGAACGCTTATGACAAATATTGTAATTGGTAAATTAAATATATAGCACTATTAACTACGGCAAACTTTCTTTGACACAGGTGCTCCTTCTGAAAATGTTCTTTTTCTCTTTAAGCCACCTAATTTGAACTTTGATACAAAGTTCTTATTTTCTGTCTGAGATTTACATCTAAGAGATCGAGGATTAATTTTTCGCAATCGCATACTTGTACGTGTGGTGTTCTTAATGGAGTCTGATGAGAGTCTACGTAATGCTGTTGAACTTGGTTTGCTTACAACACCTTTTTTACTACTGTTTCTTAGCTGATGTCCATGACCTAGCCTTTCATTAATTTCCTCTTTAGTCCTTAATTTAAATGCTGCAGAGTCACAAATACTTTGATCCTCCTTTGAATGAATGTCAATTTTTCCTTTGGCTTTGTGTTGATCATGTGAATTGACTTTGTTCGACTGTTTAGAATTCTCTGTAAGGACATTTCGGCACTGAGATTCAGTTTTGTTTTCAGTTAATGATTTACCAACACATCCTTTAAGTAATGTCAAGGGATTTGCCGGATGTGGAGTCTTCAGCGTTAATACAGCATCTGATGAATGACGCTGTCTAGTCCGAGTGAAATGTGAATTATCCGTTACAGCATTATTGTTAAATTGGAGGTCAGTGTGTTTTGAATTTGCCCTGTTGGCTTTCTTCATTGCTGAGGCACTTTCTGGGCAAAGCTGGTCATCTATTTTCCTGGCTGAGATACCTCTGTTTCCATGGGTCAACATTTCAGTAGCTTTCTTCATTGCAGATGCACTGCCTTGGGCTAAAATTTGATCAGAAATATCGACTGCTCTAGTCATCTTTTCTCGGACAGTACTGGGTGTAAAATTCAACTTTTTATTTATACTAGCTGCTTGAATACTGTCATCCAAATCAAATTCCATGGAATTTGGAACAGACATTCTTCTCGTCTTCTCAGTCGATACTGGTGAAACGACACCTTTGTGTCCATTGTCATTTCTTGGACTAGAAGGGGCACTTTTAGGGGAAGCTTTCTTAATGTCATTTTTAGCCGAGTCTGAATCAGATTCTAAGGGTTTACGTGGCGAAGAACGAGTAGACATTTTGACTGGAACAGTCTGTTTTTCTTTGCTTTCTCTGATTCTTCGTAAGTTTTCCTCTCTTTCTTTTTTCAGTAAAGATAGTTTTCTAGGTCCAAGAGGATCAATTAAAACAACAACACAACTGGTATTGTCAGCCCTCATCAGACGAGACTTCCACTTGTTCAAAGCTCTTTGTACCAACTTCTCTGCTGGATTAATCCAATATGAAACAGGAGCAGTCTATAAAAGAAAACATTGACAAATAATTGAATACATTCATATCAACTGGAGTTTATAAACAATAGCTTCACATTCTTTAAACTTGTAGTTGATTGTTTTTTGGTGTTTTAATGTTAATTTCAGCACTATTGGCTATTTTTTGGTATTGCTGCTGAGTTCTGCTCACTTTCAAAAGCTGTAATACAAGAATAAGGGAGCCACTGGGCAGGGTAAAATAATAATTATAATTTGGTCCTGCACCTTCTGGTAGAATTTAAGTATTCAAAATCATAATGCGATTTCGATATTTAAGATAATCCTTCTTATTTTTCACATGAATAAAATGGGTTCTTTAATTCTAATAGGAGTATGTTTACAAACTGTACTTTTAGGGTTAATACTGTCACTTGAAATCCATGTAATTTTAATCATGCTTTTATCACCAACACATATAATGCAAATACAAAAACACATTTCCATTGACGACCCAAATGTTGATAAACAGTTCTCTATAAAGGAGTATGTTCGGTAAGGGCCATATTTGGCCCCGATTATGAAGTTTAATGTTTCAGGATAAAAATGTGTTAAGTTGATGAAAAGACATGTGAGGAAGTTAAATAGAAGTATTTTTGTCAAAGTTTTATTCTGAAGCGTTGATTTTTACATCCCAAATAGGTAAAAAATTTGACAATAATCGTATTGATTTCAACCAAATTAATGCCTAGGAAACATAGAGCGCATGGGTCGACAAACTAAATATTTGTGTCAGATATGTAAAATGTCATAACAAAGATTATGCTAAAAGATCTTTTTTGTCGACGCCTGCACTCTTTGTTTCCTATCCAAGAAATCAATGGAAATTTATCCATTTTCATTGAATTTTTGTTGAAAATCAAAATGAGTGCTATTAGTGACGCCATGAACATAGCGTTAGTACGTAAATTTTCCAAAAAATATATATTTTCGATATTGACATTGTATAAGCTATGATTCATTTTGGTATTGGACAATAAATCCTAATTTTAAATTAAAGCCAGAAAGAGGGGCCATTTTAGGACCTTATTGAACCTACTCCTTTTAGTGTTTCAACTGTTTGTCATTAAGTTTCTTTTATATGTGTGTACTGATGTGATATGCATTTTCATATTCAAAATGTTGTACAATCATTTTAGTATTCTCAGTAACGCTGCTGTTTCCTTTTACTATTTTTATGCTATCCAGTATTCTCAAGCAAGTCGAAAGTTTGCTATCTCCACCTTGTGTGTAAAAAATCAAGGCTATTCCATTAAAATGGATGTTTAGTGAACCACTGTGAAATAAATAGCTGGTGATTGAAGATAATAATTCTTTCAAACATTGAAACATTCTATATCTCTAAAGGCCTCACATGAGGCATGATAGTACAACAATATAACAAGTAAGAAATAATGCATGAACAAACATATTTACAAATGCATGAATAAATGGGAAGGTAAATATCATTTGTAAACTGGCATTACAATTTTACAGAACTTAGCTAAGCCAACAAGAACAAATTTATCCTTGCTGTTCATTAAATCTCAGATAGGCAAATTATAAATTGAGTTGGAGTTATCTTCCTTTGTTCATGATTGTACATTTGTAGTTTATAGATATAAGAAGATGTGGTATGAGTGCCAATGAGACAACTCTCCATCCAAGTCAAAACTTATAAAAGTAAACCATTATAGGTCAAAGTACAGTCTTCAACACGGAGCCTTGGCTCACACCGTAGCAAGCTATGAAGTGCCCCCAAAATTACTAGTCTATTAGTCTATTTTTATAACAGATTCATACATCATGAATTACTTATGTAATTTTCAATAAAGAAAAGTTTTATTGACAAGTATGGTAATTCATATACACATCATATTGTCACTTGAATATCTTAGTATAACATCTCATTTATAAATTGCATGACATTGACTGGATAGAATCTAAAGACTGATCACTTCAAAACACTATTTTGAACTATCAAAGGTAGTGATAAACCTTGGAAGTTTAAGTCAGTAACATAGGGTTTTGATTGCATTTCATGCAATCTTTAACCAAAAAAAAACTCTAGCACAAAGGGAAAGGATTTGCAGGGGCCTATTAAACCAGACACCTAAATTTATGTCTGGGATCCTAAATTTTAGCTGAAAATGTTCAAGTGCTTATGTTCATCTTTCATATTGTAAAATGTTGGGCCCTTAAGGCTTAGATTGAAATGGTCCCCTGAACAGCAGGCAGTGGACTTATAAATATAATACATACAGGATCATTTATAACTTTGTACTCAAAGTGATACTCCAGATCTACCACAACAGACACAGATTCTTCGGCAGACACCATATTCCACATTCCATCAGAACCAAGAACAAGACATTTGTCTCGGGCTGGATCCAACTTTCTCACAGATACATCTGGTTCAGGGGATACCACAAACTGTTCATTTAAATAATTGTAACTCCAAAGGTCACCTTAAAGTAGAAAATATCATATATATATATATATATATATACTTACATGTATGGTTATGTAATAAGTGTACTTTTTTCCCTTGCCTTTAAAAGAATTTATTATTGTTTGCACAACTCTTAATAGTCTATGCTAAATTTATTTACAACATGCCTTGATAAGTACAAAATTTTGACCTATATTATATAGATATATGTACTTGACTATTGTTAGACAATCTATTGATTATCTAGATCTCTCTTTGGCGCTTAGTATTGTTTGGTTGCAGTCTCATTGATGTATACCTCACATCTCCCTTATTCTTATGGCTGTTTATTTAAGCAGCAGACACTAAATTATGTGCTTAACTATGTTCTAGACCTAACCTTCAGTATAATTGTTAGCCTTCTAATACCCCCAAGATAACTTTTCTGAAATAGTTCTGAGAAGATCTTCTCACAAACTTAAAGTTGACTTCAGATGGATTTGGCTATTTTTAATGTCCATTTTGGTCACATATATAGCTCTTCAACCGTTTCTGTTCTTCTATGTATCCTTGGCTTTTAAATATTAAACCTTGAGCGTTCCTGATGAAGGTAAATCTAGAAAAGCACTTCAGATGCATAAAAGTTATTACCTGTTGTTTCATTTTTTGTAGAAATGGCAGAGTCCATGTTTTGCTTTTGAAAAAGCCCAAACTGATATTGTTAATGAAGAAATAGAAAGTAATTATAAATGTATAGGCAAATATTAACAATATGTGGTGCGAGGTGATTCTACATGGTCAGTTTAAGTCACATTACACAAAGTTTCAGTTCTAGGACTAACTACATGTACATTGTACAACTAACCTAAATTTTATGCCAGTTGACATAAATGTTCAAAACTTTAAGCAATTATTTTTAGTGTATAAAACTATAACTTACATTTTCTGTTGTTCCACTAAAAATTATCTGACATAAGCAATGCATTAAAACATGCCACAAAAAAGTCATATTTTTTCCCAAGCTTTTGCACCTCAAAAAATTCTAAGCCAATGTTATACTTAAATATAAAGTCAATATCCCTTATTTTAAATCTAATTTCACAATCCTAAATACCTAAACTTCTAGCAACAGCTAAGAAAGGAATTCTATCTATTGGTGTGCTACGTCTGATTGGACCTTGATGTTGATTACGAGGTCTGTTCCAAACAACTCTTTGGACTCCAGATTTTGCCACAACCTGGCCACCACATTCTTCAATCCTTTTCTTCTCCTCTGGACTGTCTGGTTTGTGATCCTGAAATGAAATAATAACAGACATTGCTGAACAAATTGTATGAACATGTTAGTCGTACATGTATGTACAAGTGGTTAAAGTCTTGTGTACCAACATTTACAGACATTATCCAGATTCAAAGCCACAACAGTGTGTCCAACATTCTGACAGAACATCTGTTTTAAACGACAATGTGACTGACTTATATATACATGCATATAATAAAATATTATATGTCTGTCTAGTATTGTATTAGTTTTTTTTATGGAAGTTACATGAAGAATGTGGTGTATTTCTAGTTAATGACACTTTATATGTAAAGCAAGCTTGCTTTGAGTCCAGTCTTCACGCTTAACCACAAGACCACCAGCCCAGGCTTGAAAAATTCCTCTCTGGCTTGTAAACTTCTTCTTTACAAGCCATTTTGCAAGCCAACAGAATCCAACTAAAATTTCATAAAATTGAGCTTCTGGCTTGTGGATTCAAAAGTTTATCGTGAAGACTGTTTGACACGTACATGGACCGTAATTGGAGTTCCACATGCAGGGCTTGAACATACAACCTCAGTGTTGACAGGCTAGTGTTACTGTAGATAAACTACTATGACCACTTGACCCCTGCCATCAAAGAAATCAAGCTTATATACTTACAATAGTTAACATTGTACCCTTTGGTCGTATGAATTTCTCACTTCCACTGTCATCAAACCCCAGAGCAATTCCAGAATCTCCCACATGACCTATATATAGTTTGGAATTTTTTATGATAGCTATACTGGCTGTAGTTCCAGATGTACTTCGAAATCCACTAGAAGTTTTCGGCCATCGATCTAAAAATGAATATGAAACATACATTTATCTACATTTTGTTTCAATATAAATGTTAGACAAAGTACATATTATTTCAGTAACACAGATTCATATATGTACATCATATTGACATATTTCCGACATGACACAAAAAAAGAACAAACAAGAGGCTGTCGAGTGACAGCAAATCGGATTTTCCTGTAGAGATCGAACCCTGAACAGTATGGACACAACATTTAAGCTTAAAACAGCTCTGAATTTGGATTGTGATTGAATATTTAAAATAGATTATTATCTAATTGAAAATGAAAATGATACTTGCAAATCTGAACCCCAAACAGGATCATGTAAAAATTAAACATTAACACACACAACAAAAATAAAATACCACATAACAACTGTGACATCTACCTTCATTACACACATGACTTAAAGAAAATAGTTATAAAGAAATTTTGACAACTAATGACTAAAATTAATTGAACAGAATCCATATACTTAATTTATCATTACTGGTTCATGGATTAAGTTTGAGTTATTTCCCTTTGAACACAGTAATATGGTTTAACTAGTAAAGCAAACATAGTTCTCTAAAATTAGATATGATTTAACTCTCTAAAATAAGATATGATGTTACACAATGTATATCTACATGTATTTTCAAATTATAATTAATAGTTCCAAATATTTTTTCTTTCATTTGTCACAAACTAATACAGATCTGCAACTTATCTATCAATGTCAACAACTTTATCTTCACAATGTAATGTAATGAAATATATCCTTTAATAAAAATAGATTATTATCTAATTAAAGGAGTTCACTTCATCAAAAAAAATTATATATATATATAGCATTCAAAAAATTAGTTTTTACAGAATAACAAACAAACCTACCACAAAATTCTTCAAACAATTTACCAAAGAAAAGAAAACAAATCCAAAATGTCATTTATCATTAATAAATGTCTTTTAAAAATCTTTTAAAAAATCTTTTAAAAAATGAGTTATTTCCCTTTGTACAGAAATGGAATAATTCATCAAATACTGAATTCTTGGGAAAGGGCTATAACTCAACAATGAGAAATGCTACAATCATGAAAATTGAACTTGACCTTCCTTTCGTCAAAGCGTTTTCATGTTAATGAACAGACACTGTTTGGCAGCTGCCCGCCCACCGTACATTCCGAAATCAATAACCGATTCATCCTTCGAAAATCTGGTTAAAAACTGATATTTTCTATGTCCTATCTCAAATTTATAATTTGACTATATACCAAATATTTTATGGCTTTAATAATCTAATTTAACTGATTGTTATAAGACTTGTTTTATCAGGGTTGTCAAAATCCCTGGTTTTAAGGGTATTGCAGATGACTATATGTTGAAATTTGTATTTTGTTTGTCATAATTAGCTGTATTTTACATGCTTGATGTATAAAGGGCAATACAGATTGATATTATTATCTATTTTAAAGGAATTAAAAACATGTAAATTGGAGTAACGAATGCTTCCCCTGTGGATGTCATGTATTTACAATGTATATAAACTTGATACAACTACATTTTGTACATGTAAGGTTCTACCATGTATGTTAAAAATTATCTATGGATAGACTAAAACACTGAAAATCAACAAATCTGTCAGCATACATTTTGTACTACTAAGACCATGAAAATAAGTACAAAATGAAGTTAAAATTACTTTTTTATTTTTCAATGGTCATGGATTTCTTTCACGTTTTCTGTTTAATTAAAAGTACAATATTTTATCAAAATTTTCAAAAAAATTAATTAAGAATAATTTTTAGGTGTTAAAACTTGAACATGAATTCAGGTCTTTTCATTTTCCCTTTTAGGTCAGAGTTTTGGCATATTTTTTTTTTTAATATTATCTACATTTTTGTTTTAACAAAGTATTTAATTTTACCTTTAATCATGTTAATAAAACTAAAACATGAAGAAAATCTATTGGAAAATAAAAAAGTAATGGTAATTTGAATAAATCGAATGGTATATTTTCATGGGAAGCAAGTTAACTCGTACCATTGTAAACTCGTACCACGTAAACTCGTACCAAAAAAGTTAACTCGTACCAACGTAAACTCGTACCACTGGGAAGTCGTACCAATCAGAACTCGTACCACTGCAAACTCGTACCATTAAAAATATATTCAAAAATACGAATGTTTTATGATTTTTTTGGGGGTAAACTTAACAAAAAAAGTTGAATTACTTGAATTGTATACTAGATTTTAATAAAAATTTAGACATAAATACGAATGTTTTATGATTATTTTTTTAAGCTTTATACAAAAAATTAAAATATCTTTGAATTTTATACCAGAATTTAATGAAAACTTAGACAAAATAATATATGATATATATGTGAAATAATATATGATATATATGTTAATAAAACATAAGGTGTATTTCTTGAGAGAAAAAAATAGTAATATTTGATGTTTTGTTAATTTTTATACATGAATGTTCTTGAAATTGTGGTAAATAAAGCATCAAAATGAAACATATTCTTTGTTATTCTGCCAACACTACCATTACGCCTACTGGTCATTCACAATACCATTAGACACATCATTAAAAAAGAGGGGCGAAAGATACCAGAGGGACAGTCAAACTCATAAAAAAGACAAACAGACAAATAATAGTACACAAGACACAACATAGAAAACGAAAGACTAAGCAACACGAACCCCACTTAAAACCGAGAGTAATCTCAGGTGCCATTTCATATATTGGCTTCTTTTTCTAAAAGAACTATGCATATCTTCCACTACAGGTGATATTTATAAATTAGAAGAATGATAATGACCTATTATTTATATCAAATAAAAGCATGGTCATATTCTGCTACAAAGTGCTGAATATTATATAAACATATATTATTTCATACTTTCTAACTGTTGGTCATAAACAATTTTAAACCTTTAAAACACAATTAATAAATTCTTTCATTAAATAAAATTCCTTTTTACAAACAATAGAAAAATACACAAATCTATTCAATGTTACCGATTTGGAATGATTAAAAATTAAATCAAATAGTTGTCAGTAAAAGTTTAAAAAAGAGTCTATTCAAGAGAGACAACAAAGCCAATCTGCCACGGTTTTCTCTGTGGTACGAGTTAGCCGTGGTACGAGTTTGCATTGGTACGAGTTTTTTTTAGTGGTACGAGTTGACATTGGTACGAGTTTACAATGGTACGAGATAACTATAATTCATTTTCATGTCTTTGTTCAGGTCTTTAGTGTGATCTCTCTCTCAAGAAACCACAAATAACCCATTTCCCTGTAATGCTTTTTTAATAAAGCAAGAAAAGAGACCCAAACTATATATTAATTATTATCATTTCCTAGCAATTTAAAATTGATGATCTCTTAATCATTTGAAATTAAGGATCAGCTTATTATAACAGTATTTTACCCCAACATGTCTGAACAAGATTTACATCAGAGTCATTTTTAGCCATTTACCTGTGTTGATCTGACCTTCACCTGCTTCCAAAGGAAAATTATGAATGAGTCTTTTAAACAATTTCGGTTTTTAATAATTTATAGTTTTAAGAGCTAAAGACATACATTTAATATTTTTCAGCATTAAAAAGTAACAAAAATGACAAAAAATATAACAGTTGATGTTTAAATTATGTGTCTAGACTGAAATAAATTATGTAAACAAAACACCCTTCGTAGCCTCATTTTATTAAGGGGTGAAAAGGCGCGGAATTGGATTTTGAATGAAAGGGTCAAGCGTTTTTTAGATACCACTATTTCGACTGATAAGACGGTCTGAAATAAAGTGAACATTTGAATTTTTCATAAACATATAAATCGTTGACCATATATCTGACATTCTGTGATTAAAATACCTCAGACGATTCTGCAGTTTTGACTATATACAAACATGGCCACGCACTAAATAATCCCAGATTTAAACTCACCTACTTCCCTCCACATTGCAAAATGGACATCAAGAAACCCAGATTTAATTGCATGTAATACATCATCATCATTGTCATTCCAAAAGCACTCATATTTAGTAATTTCGTCTAAAAGGTGATCACGAGCAAACTTTGAAGCCTCACCACCACCGTGTCCATCGAAAATACCAAAATAAGCGAATTCAAAGCCACCCTCGTCATTTTTTACAAATCTGATGGCATGCGTATCTTCCATATACTTCCGTCCTCCTTGGTTGCTATTTTCTGTCACCCTTAAATTCACCCCAATTTTGTAACTTGACATTTTGTCAGTAAAACCGTTCCAAGTTCGACATGGAGGGGAAATTACAATGTATTTTTTAGATTCAATTTGATTGGTCAATCTTACTTCCGTTGACATGGGTAGTTAAATTATAGAAATCTAATGGAGCAAACGAATTTATAATTTGTCGTTATAAATTTCAGATTGAACCCGGGACCGTGATAATATATTATAATAGTTCCAGATTGGATGAAATAAAGAAGTAAAAAAGAACTTAAGATACAAAGAGAGTAAACAAAATCTATAAGTCTAAGAAAAACAGACAATTCATCGACAAAAAAATGAACAACTTGAAATGCCAGATGTAATAATTATGACAGAAGTTAACTCATTTACTCAGGCTCGGAATCATCAGTTACAACTCCGCTAGATTAAACATCTATCCAGGACTGAAAGGAAAATAAAACGTGGATTGTGGTAGCTCTGATGTAATCGCAGAACTGGACACGAACCGAGTGTGGAATATTGTGACCACAAATAAAACAAAAAGACACATTTTTTTAAGATCTTCATCTCTAGATCTTCATATGCCTAGTCGATCATACTAGTATACTCCCAAACAACATCTTACAAAGAGGGTCTCTCTGAATTTGAAAAAAAACTGCCCAATAAAATCCAACTGTATCATCGGGAAGAGGGTCTGGATGGGGGTCCTTCATTTCTCAGTGTATTCTTTATTCTTTTAGGCAATTATTCTCTTTTGTACTTTTTGCCCCTCATTCTCTATTCTTTATATTCAAGTTAGCACCCATTTTTCTCTATTCTTTATTTTTTGCCCTGTTTTTCTATATTCTTTGATTATTTTGCCATTTATTCTGCAAATTTTGCCCATTATTCTCTATTCTGCCACGGTAAACCCAATCCAGACCCTCATGGAAGAGTTAAATGGAATAGCACAAACAAATATGAATTTGCTTTACATTGGAATTAAACAAGGAAACCCTGAGCAAAAAGGCAAACATAAACACTTTCTGGAATATTTTTAAATAAGGCTTGGACAGCATAACAATTAAAAAAACATTTACCTTCCAAAATTCAAAGACCCATACATAACACAAGGGAAAAAAACTTATGAGGCGAAGAGACTGAGCATTAAAAAGAAAAATCGAACCGTGCTGATAATATCAAAAAATATGAGCGATTGAAAACAAAACCATTCGAAGATAATCAAGACAAAATCATTGGAAACATACAGAGATTACAATATCTCCAGAAGATAATGAAGATTCCCGTTAATCTACAAAAAGATTCTGGACCAACATCAAATTAAACCAAAGTGATTAAAACGGAGTAGCACCACTTACAGAAGAAATGGGAAATTAGAAACCGATCCAATAGATAAAGCAAATTACTAAGCGAGCAATTCCAATTTGTCTTCTCTACTGCATGTCCGTAAAATAAGATGCGACAGAAAAGTCATGACATTTCTATACCAGAAAAGTATCCAAACCGCGGAAATATCATCATCATGGAGTGGAAAACAACTGAAAAATCTGAACCCATACTTAATGTTACTGACTTCTCAAAAGCTTTAGAAAAGGTGTATAGCAGCTTGCTCCTACACAAACCTTCACAATAATGGCATCAGAAGTAAGACAAACAAACAGATAAAGGAATTTCCGACAAACAGAACAAGTATGCTGTATATAGTGGTCAAGGCGAAACAACTGACATCTAGCGTTCCACAAGAATCAGTCTAAGGACCCAGTTTGTTTCTTCTATCCATATCAACAACTTACTACAAGGCCTCCAGTGATAGTGAATAAAATTGAGAATGGAAATGGGGAATGTGTCAAAGAGACAACAACCCGACCATAGAGCAGACAACAGCCGAAGGCCACCAATGGGTCTTCAATGCAGCGAGAAACTCCCGCACCCGGAGGCGTCCTTCAGCTGGCCCCTAAAGACAGGATGCGTCCACGATACTGTAGTCTATATGGCCATCACCTCGAACAACGACTACCTTTAATTCCAAGAAGATCTTAACAAACTTGCAAAATGGGAAAACTTAGTAAAATGGAGTACCATCCTGAAAAATGCAGTTTCAAATTTCACAGTCACAAAAGAGAAAAAACAATCAATTTTTACGGCCATACAATGGAGCATCAACTAAATACCTGGGTTGCACCATCACAAATGATATAGATTGGAGCGAACACATAAACATCAGCACCGATAATGCCAGTCTAATCCATGGTTTTTTACACTTGAACCTCCACATCAGCCCAAAATCCACCAATATGCATGTTTATAAAACAGAAGTAGGACCACACATAGAAAATATTCAACGACAGGATGGACTTGGGACCGCATCAGCGAAACGACATGGACAAAAATATATGTAACAAAAAGTGCAAAGGCGAGCTGCACGATATGTAACCAATATACATAGAAATAAACCAACAACATGATAAATGAACTATATCGTTTCATTTCGGCCTCGAGTAAATGTTCTACGACTAATCTTTCAGTTCTTTTAATTAGTTTTTAACTACTATCAAAGAATTTATCATTAACTTTTATAATAAAGCATATGAAAATAATGGAATTAGGTTTTTGGAGTATGTTAATATTCTTTGGGATGGTTTAGATAAATTACGTGCTTTTGCATGATGGTCCTTTTTATTTCGTTGATAGTTTTGACTGTTGGACCCTCTACACTACACTTCCACACAATTATAAAAAAAAGTTTTCTATTTGAATAAATGATTTTTTTTAAATCTGATTGCAAATTTATCTGCTGCAACTCATGTAAAGCCTTCTGTGATGAAAAATGTAAATATACTAGACATACTTACTGTGAAGGTGTGTTGAGATGATAAAAGCTGTCCTCCTTGACAATATCGATGTTCGTTTCTGCAATATAGTTTATCGACAGGTTCTCTAGGTATTTAATAGCAGACTTGTTCCTGTATTCTTATGAATCACGGTTTATGACCAAACTCAGTAAAAACCCGTCTGAATTCAATTTCATTGATTGATTAACAAACAACACTTGCCGTTATCTTGGTGATATTTTTTTTGGTTAAAAACGAGAAAAGAGAAACACCTATGAACCACACCAACAAACGACAACCACTGAACAACAAGCTCCTGACTTAGGACAGGTGCATACAAATGCAGCGGGTTTAATCGTTTAACAAGCGCCAACCTTCACCCTAACCTGAGACAGTAGCGTAACATTACAACATAAAAATACGCACTATATAAAATATCAGTTGAAATGGCTTAACTCGATCAAAAAGACATCCAAACGAAAATTAACACACACTGAACGAATTAGTCTGACCCATCACACAATACAAACACAATATCAAAACGTAGGTGCCTATATATCATAGACGTTACAGGTATTGATAAAAAAGAAGTAGGAACAGTGTCAAAAAGACAACTCTAACCTGGGACAACATGGCGTTAAATAAAACAACGTACACAGGTAAATTTAAATATAATAATTTTGTTGTTAGGAGTGCGAAATTAAACATTTTTTTTTACAAAATTAATAAATTTGTTGTTCAGAGTATGAGTATACAGAAGTGAAAATTTATCGTAAAACTAAATACTCATCAAAGGTAGTACATATTGAAAATAGTGAGACGAGATATAACACAAAATAATTAAACATTGAATTACAGAAATGCATTGCAAATTGTGTCAACAAGTCAAATTAACACCAAAGTACGATTTGAGAGTACTTGCAGTTACTGAAAGCATGGAAGTATTATATTGACAGGAACTGTCTATATAATACTTCCATGCTGAAAGCTAGTTAAAGCCAAAAACAATTAACAATAAAAAAAATCGACTAAAATCAATTACAACACATCCCAGAGGTTTAGTATTTAAAGGCCATGGACATGTTCATTTTAGTAATTTGGTAACAGCTGATCGATATTGAAAGGGAGACCCTTGCGTGCTAAAAATACGCCAGTTAAAGCCCGCAACATGTTGTTTATCTTTTTTATCCTCTAAGAGTCTGTCCATCTGCTTCACTAAAGGCTACAATTTATGAAGTTTATAACGTCGCATTTCAGATGAAAGTTTTCTTTTGAAGTACATTTGATATAAATAAGAAGATGTGGTATGAGTGCCGCAATGAGACAACTCTCCATCCAAGTCACAATGTACAAAAAGTTATCAACTATAGGTCAAAGTACGGACTTCATTTGTATGGACGTTCCAGGACCAAAGTTTAGTTTTAGTTTTGGCAGTGTAATTAAGGGCCTCCAGATTCGTGTTGGTAGTTTCCTCCCGGTTTGCACTACCAACAGTCATACTTGCTCCGCTGTTGGTGCTTTCGAGACTCTCTTCAACAGTAGAAAAAATTCTTCGTTACTATTTCTGTCACAGCGTTTTTTCAAGTGAGGGTTGTTTACTTTCAAATTAGAACTTTCCTTTCCGTAAACGATTGCTGTATATATACAAGTCTAAATTGAAAACAACGTTCAAACCTATGATTGCGTTGGATAAAAACCGCAATTTTTATACGTGTGCATGCAAAACAAATTTCTTGTTAGAGGGGTCTCAATACAGCACAAACAACATTTTCCAAAAGACCAAAAGTGAAAAAGTATATTTTAACAAAACGCATTTGACTAACAGGTCGAACAACAAATGTTCTTAAACCCTGCTGACTGCCATTGGCGATTGCCAAATAAACGGATCACCGATGTAATAAATGGATCTTAATTTTAAATTTAGTACTAAACAGAAAACAATAAACTTGCGGAGAAGATATATATATATATATATATCTAAACTGACGAGGTCCATCTACCGGGATTTTCTATCTGGATTTACTTCCATATATATCCTGTGACGTTTCCTGGGTCATCCACACAAGGGAGTGGAGCTATTTAATCTATAGCTGGGGACTATACGTTTGTAGGAATCAGGGTGTGTTCTCACACCGGTTGGCCCGCATGTCGTGCGTGTATCTTGGTGTCTACTCTCCCCCGAAACCCTGTGGTACTGTCTGTGACCGCGAGGTACCCAGTTTCCATCTGCCAACCCGATGAGGATTCCATATCTGGCCGTTCTGGTCTTACTGCATGACAGAGAGGACTTAAAAACTCAGCTTCCTTTTTCATAGTAAGTTACTATACAATTACGAGGCAGAAAAGTGAAGCGGAGAGTGACAACCACAGACAATCACAAACGCCATAATACACACACTGTACGCAACAGACAAGCAAGTGAAACAGACTATATGTGGTACATTTTCTAATAGCAAGACTCCAACTTAAGGGCGATTTATGCTTGGCATATACTAGTATTGTTTAAGTCTAAATGTTAGTATCCCGAGTTCGAGTTGCACTGATTGTACTCGATCTAAACATTCCATCTGGAACTATAGACACAAACCTTTGTTTTAAGGGAACCATCTTTAACAATTTTTAAAGGCCGATTAATTAAATGTGTTAGTTAGAACTCTCCTGTATGTTCTATAGAATATAATGTAGTAGACGATGAAAATAAAACTTTATGAATTCCGTGCGTCCGATGCACTTTTCTGGATTTACCTTCATCAGGAATGCTCAAGCCCAAATTTTTGAAAGCCAGATGAAAACTGACCAAAAGGGATACTAAAAGAATAGCCAAATTCTTTTAAGACCAACTTTGCCCAAGGGAGTTGGAACCTTAGTTTATATAAGAAAATGCCAAATTTATCAAGGGGGAATTTTAGAGAAAAATCAAATAAGATAAACAATGTCAGTACGGAAGCACTGACTATACTGAGCTGATGAAAACTTCGAGGGAAAACAGTATACCATGCAGCAGTGTTATTGACCCAGTGTTATTAAATGAACAGCTTATAAATTTCGTGCAGTCGACACGCTTTTAAGGATTTACCTTCATCAGGAACGCTCACTTGAAGCCCAAACATTTGGAAACCAGGGATTTATAAATATACGTATAGATATACTAGTAGCTATATGACCAAAAACAGACCTATTACTAGTAAACAAGAATATCCAAATTCAACTAAGGCCAATTTTGTCTGTAGGAGTTAAAACCTTAGTTTCTTAGTAATTTCTTAATTCATCTACGAGGAATGTTAGAAAAAAATGCGATAAATCATTGTAAGTATTTTGGTTTTACAACACATGATCTATATAGATAGACAAAAAGTGGAAAGGCTGCCTGTATACCCATTCAGGCAACATGGACCATGAGGTGTTCGTTGTTTGCCTTTTATGTATATATATATCTTTTTTCGGATGAGTCGGCTATCTGATTAAAATTCAGATCTATATTAAAGCGCGTGCTCGTATATATAAGTATAACGAATTCAGAGAATTCTATTTAGATTGATGAGTCGGGTGTTGGTTGATGCGCGTGGTATGTTGTACATTGCGATAATTTGCCGCGGATTCCTGTTATTTCTTTTTTATGTTTGACACTTTCTGAATATTTTATATTCATTTGGACTCAATGTAGGTGCGTACAAAGGCAAATAATCAACAAGTAGACGATATGGTTGTTCTTTATGTCCATTGGCAAATATTTCATTCTTATTAGGTATGAAAACAAATTAATAACAAAAATATAATAGGTATTTTGTTTGTTGTTGTATTTTATATTTGTTTTCCGTTTATTTTTTTAAAAACATAAATCATGTCTTTAGTTTTTTTTTGTTGAATTGTTTTACATCATCAGTTTAGTAATATCGGTGCCCTTTTTTTCGCTTGCTATGCGGTATGGATTTTCCTCGTTGTTGAAGGCCGTACGGTGACCTATACTTGCCAAATTCTACGTCATTTGGTCTCTGGTGGAAATTTGTCTCATATGCAATCGTGCCACATAGGCTTATTTTCATGTAGGATCTATTACTGAGTAGGTCCATCGAAATGAAGGGTAGAAATTCTGCCCGACTGTGACAGGAAAGTTTGTAAGGCATATTGGATAGGAACAGACACTTCTTATTGAATTTGGGACCAACAGATAAAGGAATTTGCATGAAACTATAATTATATTGTTGTCTACCGTTAAAATATAAATGACTGTTTTGTGGCATCTCTGTGTTTAATAAAATTTTACTATTTTTATTAACTTCCCTTAGGATTGCTTCTTGGTTTTGATATGGTATTGTTCAAGTTTAGTGGTTGACTTTGTATGGTGGCTTAGTGTAATATTCATTTCCATAATCCTATTATAAATGTTACTATGGTGTCCAAAGCTGGATAATTTCCATTTTGCATTCAAGTCTGTAAATATTTCAATTCTAGAAAGTCCACTGTTCATTTTACTGCGCTAGATATCAAAGCAATTCATATCAACTAAAAATTGGAGTTTCCGATACATGTTAATGAATAGAGAAAGCAGTATGATAATAAATAAATTAAAAAAAATTATTGCAGAGTTGACCAATCTGATTAAAATACAGGTCATGTGTTCAAGCTTTGCTTACAATTTCAATGGCTGATTTAATAATCAACAGAACAGAAAGTAAAACATGAGGCTACTATAACACATATCATATATAGTAGTCTCAGGTAAAACGGAGTGTTGTAAGATCCTTGTAAGCAAAGTTTGGTTACATGATCTGTATTTTAATTAGATTGAGAGCTGACAAATATAAATAGCAAAAACTTAGAAATCAAATACATGCGGAACAGCGACATTTCGAGCCATTCCACGGTTGGATCATGTTTTAAAATCTAGAACAACGGTTTTCACTCCTGATTTGGACAGGAAGACTGTTCCACCATGTAGCTACAACATATTTAAACGAATTTTTGTATACCATAAGTAGATGTTCTTACACGGGGAACATCTAATATATTACTGTTTCTTAAAGATTATTTTGAAGATTTAATTTTCAGAAAACTGTTCAAACATGAAGGAGCAATATCATTTATAATGTAGCAGAGTGATTTTTATGATCATTTTATATAATGTAAAAATCATCTATTTATTAAATTACTATATTTATGATAAAAGCTTAATTACATATTTTGAATATTGTATTTTTAGTGTAAATTATTACTTGAAAACCTTACTTATATGTATAGTAATATTCACGTTATTTTCTATGAATATTCAGTAGGGATTTACTTGAATCATTGTATTTGATTGGCTGTTAGTATTTCGCGGTCAAGTTTAATTTCCTTTGTTTTGTACCTGTATATTTCCACGGACGATAGCCATGACAGTCCATTGAATTTATGTCTGATTATATTGACCACATAGTTACCTGTAAACCTTATATTTTGGACAACATATTATTGAATACTGTAAGTTTACTTCTTTATTAACATTATTTATATTTTTCACGTAAATGATATTATAGCAAAGTTTCTATTTGTCTTGTAACGTTCTCCTCATATCGCATGCATGTAACATAAGTACACAAGATGTACATGAGAGTATTTTATTAAGCTATAAGTATATGATTTTATAATCTACGGTTTATTTGCCACGGTAGAATTATATTGTTAATTTGCGTACACTACTATTTGGTTATTGTCACGAATAGTCTATATTTTATAAATGGCGGCTTGTTAAACAAAAGACGTAAAAAAGTGTTTCCATTTATATAAAGTAATAGTTTTGTATCGAATAGTTTTTATAAAGTACAAATATGAATGAGTAAAGAATATTTGTCACATTGTATATTTCTATAATTAGAGTCCGAGTATTTATGTTCGTATTTTGGTTTCAGGACTCCATGTAATGTGTAATTATATAGAACACATGATTGTGTGATGTTTATTTGATGTGCCGTTAACCTTACTAGTTCAACTCACTCCATAAGTGGTAAGAGTATATTTATTTATAGTTTGGCATTGTTTATATTGTATTGTAAACATGAGTTACCTCCCCTTTATTTGGAGCTTTTAACGAATCAATAATATTGACATCATAAGTCTTTATGATTATTATATTTGCAACTTTATGATTGTTGTATAATATTATGTAGTTAATTATTATACGTATTATATATTTTGATGAAGTTATTATTAATAAATGTAGATATAACATTTATTATATACCGTTTGTAAGGTAAACCAGTAGTGATTACATATACACAGATACACAAATTTATCGTACATTACATTGCACTATACAGTGTAAATAAAAGTGAATCTTGTTGTTAAAGTACACGTGACACCGAGGTCAATTTCACTGACTGTAAACATTGAACATCTTCTACTTGTAAAACATTTTACTTGCTACTTATTTAATAACAGATAAATGTATTATTTATTATTATATTTCTGTATTACATAAACTGTGATATTTCGTAAAAGTATTTATGTTATATGAAATAGCTTGTTATTTATATATGTTGTATTGCTATTTCAGACTTGTTTTATCTACTGGTACAATAAAGCATCAGAACCCTTAGCTCTCGTTAGTTGTTATTCCAAGCATAGAAAACAACCTACTACAAATGGCGCCCACGTTTCGTTGGGTTGATGGCACATACCAGTTTTTGTGGAGATCCAGATGTGATGTCAGTGACCACCATTAGATTTCTCGAGTCCATGTATACAGTGACCATGTGTGTTTGATTACTTCCGTTATGGTACCATGTGATGAACTTTACCATGTGCTTATGTTTACCAACATGCCGACCCATGTGATCATCGTCCACGTGCGTTTGTTTACAGTTTACCGGATGACATTGTAGTACCGGATGTTACTTATAGTAACTTGACTTTTTGTTTTTCACTTTTGGAAAACTGAACTTGTGTTATTCTACATTGTGAAATATTGTGATTTATTTATACGTTTGTGGAACAGTGCAATTATTGAAATAATTTCTAGTTTAAGGTAGGACTTATTTACTTACATTATATACTGTATACCACTTTGATACATTGAAACTTAGCATACACTTGAAACATTTACACACTAAAAATTTATTTTTGAAATTCTACATCCACTTTTTGGACTTTAATTTTTTTTTTTTTGGCGTTCTATATTTTGACCTTTTCATACTTAAACATTTATACACATTAAAAATTTTTTTTTTTTTAAATTTTTTTTCTGAGGCTTACTTGGATACGGACTTAGTTTGTCAGAGGACATGTACACTTATATTATTTAGGCTTTCATTTATGGTGTACATGTATTACTGATAGTTATAAACATACTTTGTAAATTACAGTAGCATAGCTACATAGTATAAAGCATACACTTTTATATTTTAAATTCTTTTTTCGGTATACAGTTGTAGTGTATTGTACTTACATTGAACTATGACCCACATGGTATAGGTCAATGCTCAGTTGAACTTAGCAATTATAACACACATAATGTTTTATGTGTAGTATTGCTAGTTTATATTAGATACATAGTATATAATTATATCGTTTTATAAAAGTACTTTGTATAGTGACTTGGTACATAAGTTGATATGAATTAAAATTTATTGTCATATATTCTATACATATAAGACATTCACTGAGTTAGCTAGTACCTAGATTTTCAGATTGTAGATAGACATTGCTGATTAATTTTTTTTAATATTGATTAAAAATTTCCATTTGATCTTTTAGTGTGGTGGTGTTGACACTTATTAGATTTTTGCATTATTATTGTACTTGAATTAGGGTGAATGATTTGAATGTTTATAGGTACACAAGTCTACACCGTTAGCCATGTATAACCAACCGTATGAGCCATGTTACAACGCCATGTATAACCAACACTACGACACCTACGACACCTTTGATCCACAGTACTATCCACCACGTAGAAAACGTCGTCGTCACCGAAGACGCAACAGACAACGTCCATACTGGGACCAGATAGAAGCTGAATACCAACCTGCTCCTACTCCGACTCATGTATCCCAACCATCCAGAGAACCTGTTATATGCTATAGATGTGGACAACCAGGCCACTATGCCTTTGCCTGCAGAGTTAGACTGGATCACACTAGAAAAGCCTGTAATTTTCAGCAGATTAACACTGAAGCCAAGATGTACCAACAACGACAGTCATCAGGTGATACAGAAGGATTACTTGGCAGCCCTAATGAAGTTACCATAGTCATCAATGGATTTCAAGCATCAGCACTACTAGATACTGGTTCTACAGTTAGTACAGTTAGTCAGTCATTCCATCGACAGTACCTTGCTGACAGTCCTATCCAGGAACTTAACCAGATACTTAACATCGAGTGTGCAGATGGCCAGAACATGCCATACCTTGGTTACATCTCAGCAGATCTACAGTTACCAGGTACATCTACATCAGCAGATCCTCAGCAATGCTTGCTGTTAGTCGTTCCAGATAGCACTTACAACCAGTTAGTACCACTTCTACTGGGAACCAACGTTTTGACAGCAGCTATGAATGATGTAAAGCAACGTTATGGATCACGTTTTCTACAAACAGCAGATCTACATACACCTTGGTATATTACATTTAGATGTTTGTTTCTTAGAGATAAAGAACTGCAGAAAAGATGCAACAGACTTGCCATCGTCAAGAGTGCTGAAGGAAAGACAATCCGCATACCACCTAACAAAGATGTCGTTCTACAGGGATACATGGACCATGAACTACCATATCATCCAGTTTGTGGACTTCTACAGTCAACTGATAGAGCAGCAATACCATCAGACTTAGATATAGCTCCATCATTAGTATCGTATCAGTATAGAAACAACAGCATCATACCAGTACACATCAGCAATGTAACTACCAGAACAGTGACAGTTTCGCCAAACGCCATCCTTTGCGAACTTCAGCCTGTTTCAGTCACCGACATTGATGTATCAGACAATTTTGAACAAGATGCATGGAATGAGTCTACATTCCCAGACACACTTACTGATGAACAACTACGTAAAGCCAGAGAACTACTTCATCAATTCAGAGATGTATTCAGCACTTCAGATACTGATATAGGCCACATCACCGCCGTTCAGCATAGAATAGAACTGATAGATGAAACACCATTCAAACAACGACACCGGCGTATTCCACCTGCTTTATTCGACGAAGTTAGAACTCACCTTCAACAACTTCTTACTGCTGGGATCATTCGTCGTTCACATTCGCCTTGGTCATCGAATGTTGTATTGGTCAGAAAGAAAGACAACAAGCTTAGAATGTGTGTGGACTATAGACAATTGAACCAGCTGACAATTAAAGACTCATATGCTCTTCCTAGAAGCGAAGAAATCCTTGACGCCTTAGGAGGAAACAACTACTATACAGTCATGGACATGAAGAGTGGTTATCACCAAGTAGAGGTTGAAGAGACACACAGAGCTAGAACAGCGTTTACAGTCGGCCCACTTGGTTTCTACGAGTTCAACCGACTTCCGTTTGGCCTCGTAAACAGTCCAGCAACCTACCAACGCCTCATGGAACAGATACTTGGAGATCTTCACCTAGATATATGCTTTATATACCTTGACGATTTGATCATCTTTTCAGAGACGTATGAAGAACATCTTGAAAGACTACAGATGGTACTACAACGACTAAGAGAACACAACTTGAAACTTTCGCCCAAGAAATGTGCATTCTTCAAAGACAAAGTTAAGTACATCGGTCACATAGTCTCTAAAGATGGTATTTCACCCGATCCAGATAAACTAGAGAAAGTCATCAACTGGCCTCGACCCAAAACGCCAGAAGAAGTACGTCGCTTCCTTGGTTTCGTCGGTTATTACCGCAAGTTCGTCAAAGACTTCTCTAAGATAGCAAGACCGCTCACAGACTTGATGCCTGCACCAAAGAAGTCCAGTAAGCGAAAACTCAAGAAACCAACAGTAACATCATGGGTTTGGGATAAGCCACAAGAAGATGCCTTTCAGAAGCTCAAAAGTCAACTTGCGATGCCACCTGTTCTTGGTTATCCACGCTATAAGGAACCTTTCGAACTACATACAGACGCATCTATGCTTGGTCTTGGAGCAATACTGTACCAACAACAAGAAGGAAAGAAAAGAGCCATTGCCTATGCCAGCAGAGGACTTAGCAAGACTGAGAAGAACTATCCAGTCCATAAATTAGAATTCCTTGCTCTCAAATGGTCAGTAACAGAAAAGTTCCATGATTACCTTTATGGCAACACATTTACCGTGGTTACAGACAACAACCCACTTACCTACGTCTTAACAACAGCGAAGCTTGACGCCACTGGACATCGTTGGATAGCAAGTTTGTCATCATACAACTTTAACATCGTCTATCGACCAGGTGCTAACAACGCTGATGCAGATGCACTTTCAAGACTTCCAGAACTACTTGGTCGTACCAACACCTCCAACATTAGTACAGATTCTGTGAAAGCCATTTGTCAGTTACAACATGCACAACCATATGTTCAGACGTTATCGATGACAACACCTAAAGCCACTGATGATCCATTCTTACCATCACAACATTTAATCAACATAAAGATGGAACAAAAGCAAGATACTTACCTTAGAGATTGGATATACTGGGTTGATGAACATCGAAAGCCACGAAAAGAACAGCTAGAACGTTCACCATGGAACACTTGGTTCTTGAACAACTACGACAAGTTGAAAATGATCGATGGCGTACTCTACCGTATTATCCACGACAATGGGGAACAACATAAACAACTTGTGTTACCTGAAGTCTGCATTGCCAAAGTATTAACAGCATTACATGATGAGATGGGACATCAAGGCAGAGATAAAACAGTTTCATTAGTTAGAGACCGTTTTGTTTGGTTTGGAATGAATCGAGATGTTGACAACTGGATATCGAACTGCGACAGATGTATTCGACGAAAGCAACCTGCCAGTCACAGAGCACCACTCATTAACATCGAGACGACACAACCTCTGGAGTTAGTATGTATGGACTATCTCTCACTTGAAAGATCTACAGGTGGATTTGAGAACATACTAGTAATAACAGACCACTTCACACGATACGCCTTGGCAATACCAACAAGAAACCAGACAGCAAAAACAACTGCAGACGCATTCTTCAACAACTTTGTCGTCCATTATGGTTTGCCAGAAAGAATTCATTCCGATCAAGGTGCCAACTTTGGATCCAAAATCATCAAGGAATTATGTAACATCACTGGTATGACGAAATCAAGAACAACACCGTATCATCCAATGGGTAATGGCATCACTGAACGTTTCAACAGAACATTACTTGGTATGCTTGGTACCTTAGAAAACGTTCAGAAGAAAGATTGGAAGTCACATGTTGCTAGTCTAGTCCATGCTTACAACTGTACACGTCAAACATCAACTGGTTTCTCACCATACTTCCTGATGTTCGGAAGACAACCAAAGCTACCTATAGACATTGCTTTTGGTATTGGAGATGATGCTGAACCTGTTACAACCACGAAGTATGCAGAGGAAATGCAAGACAGACTACGCAAAGCCTATGATACAGCAACAAGAAACATATTTGCTGCCCAGAAACGCCAGAAGACACATTACGACCAGAAAGTAAAAGGAGCTGTGCTGAAACCGGGAGATAGAGTCTTAGTCAAGACACTAGCTTTTGATGGAAAGCACAAATTAGCAGACAGGTGGGAAGATGACCCGTACCGGATTATTAGTCAACCTAATTGTGGAATCCCAGTGTACGTGGTTCAGAAAGAGAATAAAGAAGGAAGAAAGAGGACACTACACAGGAATCTTTTCTTGCCTATTGGAGATCTGCCAACTGTTATAGATACAGATAAAGAAAAGAAACGTCCTGCGCCCAGGCAAAGAGGAAAGAAGCAGCCCGAGGAACCGACGAAATCTGAAGGGAACAGTGAGAACAGGACCACTGATAAGGAGTCAGATGAGGAGTCGGAGCAGGAGTTGGTGTATTGGATACTTGATCAGGATACACAGGACAACACTAACAGTGATGTACCAGATGTGGACCGACAAGAAAAAGGAACTCTTGGTTTCACTGGTGACGACCATGATGGAGCTGAGAGTAGTGATCAGCAGGGAACTGGTTTAGGAGGGGACGCTCTTCCTGTGGACATCAATAGAGTTGCAGAACCAGCCCCTGTGAGTGATGAGGATACTGAAGAAGCGACTGCTCAGACTACTGAAGTACACACTTCTATTGATCAAGATGAGAGTGCGCCAACAGACCTATCACTAGAAGAGGCAGATGAACCCACCATAGCTCCAGAACACCCACGAAGAAGACGGATATTACCAACACCACCACGAGATCCACCAGTATCAACAAGACCACAGAGGAACAGAAAACCACCGAAGTACCTCGAGGACTATGTTGTATCCAAGCAGGCTACGATCCAACAGCCAGACTGGTTACTAAAGATTCACTGGTTGGAGTCTGAAGCACAGAAAGGGAGATTTAAAGGTTTGGAGATGGAGTTGTCCAGAACCATCCTTGACATCATGCGATGCAATTACTAGTGGTTAATGGCTTGCCGAGGACGTCAATTTTCAGTGAAGGGGGAAACAGACTGGAATGACGTGGAAGTCATTTTCCTACAGCGGGGAGAATGTAGCAGAGTGATTTTTATGATCATTTTATATAATGTAAAAATCATCTATTTATTAAATTACTATATTTATGATAAAAGCTTAATTACATATTTTGAATATTGTATTTTTAGTGTAAATTATTACTTGAAAACCTTACTTATATGTATAGTAATATTCACGTTATTTTCTATGAATATTCAGTAGGGATTTACTTGAATCATTGTATTTGATTGGCTGTTAGTATTTCGCGGTCAAGTTTAATTTCCTTTGTTTTGTACCTGTATATTTCCACGGACGATAGCCATGACAGTCCATTGAATTTATGTCTGATTATATTGACCACATAGTTACCTGTAAACCTTATATTTTGGACAACATATTATTGAATACTGTAAGTTTACTTCTTTATTAACATTATTTATATTTTTCACGTAAATGATATTATAGCAAAGTTTCTATTTGTCTTGTAACGTTCTCCTCATATCGCATGCATGTAACATAAGTACACAAGATGTACATGAGAGTATTTTATTAAGCTATAAGTATATGATTTTATAATCTACGGTTTATTTGCCACGGTAGAATTATATTGTTAATTTGCGTACACTACTATTTGGTTATTGTCACGAATAGTCTATATTTTATAAATGGCGGCTTGTTAAACAAAAGACGTAAAAAAGTGTTTCCATTTATATAAAGTAATAGTTTTGTATCGAATAGTTTTTATAAAGTACAAATATGAATGAGTAAAGAATATTTGTCACATTGTATATTTCTATAATTAGAGTCCGAGTATTTATGTTCGTATTTTGGTTTCAGGACTCCATGTAATGTGTAATTATATAGAACACATGATTGTGTGATGTTTATTTGATGTGCCGTTAACCTTACTAGTTCAACTCACTCCATAAGTGGTAAGAGTATATTTATTTATAGTTTGGCATTGTTTATATTGTATTGTAAACATGAGTTACCTCCCCTTTATTTGGAGCTTTTAACGAATCAATAATATTGACATCATAAGTCTTTATGATTATTATATTTGCAACTTTATGATTGTTGTATAATATTATGTAGTTAATTATTATACGTATTATATATTTTGATGAAGTTATTATTAATAAATGTAGATATAACATTTATTATATACCGTTTGTAAGGTAAACCAGTAGTGATTACATATACACAGATACACAAATTTATCGTACATTACATTGCACTATACAGTGTAAATAAAAGTGAATCTTGTTGTTAAAGTACACGTGACACCGAGGTCAATTTCACTGACTGTAAACATTGAACATCTTCTACTTGTAAAACATTTTACTTGCTACTTATTTAATAACAGATAAATGTATTATTTATTATTATATTTCTGTATTACATAAACTGTGATATTTCGTAAAAGTATTTATGTTATATGAAATAGCTTGTTATTTATATATGTTGTATTGCTATTTCAGACTTGTTTTATCTACTGGTACAATAAAGCATCAGAACCCTTAGCTCTCGTTAGTTGTTATTCCAAGCATAGAAAACAACCTACTACAATAATCTCAAAAGTTTCTATAATCATATTCATGATTCTGCGCACCAGAAGAGTTGACATGTTGACACCTTGGCCTTATTTACAAGTTGTAAAAATGTGGAGTTGTAATCATCATATACAAATCGGAGTGCTCTTTCTTGCACTTTTTTCATTTTATTTTATTGGTTTTTTTTCAGTGCAAAAATGCCAAACCGAAGGACAACAATTAAAATTCTGTATAATAAAATGATTAAATATTGTGAGTGTATTTAATTTGCAAAGAAAAGGTCATAAAAACGTTTCAAAATATTAAGCTGTTGAGATGCCTTTTTACACAAATTACTGATAATGTTAATCAAAACGATTTTTCTGTTTCTGAATCCTTAATAATTTATTTCATTTGTATAATATGGTTTAATGTTGATTTATCTGAATAAATATTGTTTGAACTATTATTAGTTGTTATTGGCTTTCAACTATAGCCGTCAGTAACTGCAAGTATACTTCAGATCTGTACTTAGTATAAAAATAAGAAGATGTGGTATGACTGCCAATTAGACAACTATCCACCAGAGACCAAAATGACATATAAGTTTACAACTTTAGGTCACCCTTCGGCCTTCAACAACGAGTAAAACACATACAGGAAAGTCAGCTGTAAAAGTCCCCGAAATGACAAATGTAAAACAATTCAAACGAGAAAACTAACGGCCTGATTATGTACAAAACAATGAACGAAAAATATATAATATAATATACAGCAACACACAACAACCATTGAATTTGGGTGGCGCCGGCAAACTAGTTTAACCCCGCCACACATTATATATGTGCATACCCGGCAAGCCAGAAGCCTGTTATTAATTGGTTGTCTTTTTTCGCTGTTTGTCCCATGTTCGGGTTGGCGCCTTCAAACATGTTTAACCCCGCCACATGCTGTATATCCCTGGCCCAAGTCAGGAGCCTGTCATTCAGTGGTTGTTGTTTGTTGCTGTACTAGTATAGTACATCATATTTGTTTTTCGTTCATTGTTGTGTGCATAAATGAGGTCGTTTATAGTTTTCTCGTTTGAATTGTTTTACACTTTGTCCTTTCAGGGCCTTTTCAAGTATAGGCTGACTACGCGGTATGTGTTTTGCTCATCGTTGAAGGCCTCATAGTTGTTAATTGTCATTTGGTCTCTGATGGAGAGTTCTTCTTATTTTTATATTTTCAGTGAGAAATTGGTCGGATTCATCTTCTAATGTTGCTATAACTATAATTACCTTGTTAAAAGCAGGACTTACAGAACGACAATGTGCTGCCATTTGCGTAGTTATACAATAAGCAGACAAGCTCTGATTTATAATATAAAAAATATCGTTTATGAAAACGTTAAACAAAAAAAGGCGGTTCAAGAATAGAACCCTGTGGCACACCTTACTGAATGTCAGCCTAACAACTAAGTATGTTGCCAACTTTTATTTGTTGTTTTCTATTTAATAAATACGAATTCAAAAGGGACACTGAATTAGAAGAAGCACCTTATAAGGACAAACAGTTTATCAAATAAGAACTGTGATTTGACAGGTAAAATCAAAGATTGCTTTGAAAATTTAAGATTAAGGCCCCAGAATGGAAACACTACTCGAGATCAAAAGAGACTTTATAACTAAACAATCCCGGCATTTGCCTAACCATAAGTCTTACTTACACATTATTTTTTTTTCATTTTCGTTAAAACATGATGAAAATATAGTCATTCGTATTTAGCCATAATTACAGCATCATTTCAAAAATTAAATGTTGATAAAAAGTTCTAATAAATAAGTAGCTGCGGGAGACCAGATATGTCTGTGAGGAGACTGAACAGAATTAAAATAATAGGCTGATGTTAATACTACTTTCGTTTTGTTCAACAATCTGACATATTTTTTTGAGGTCATGCGCACTTACTAATTTGTGTATTCAAAATATTGGGAAGCCGCTAGGATTTATGATTCAAACTTATCTTGTATCAAGTTAGAGTTCATATCAAAAAATTAGGTAGCTATTGTAAATTTATAGTGAGCAACATATGATTTTTATTATTACCGAAAAGATTGTAACCAAGAATATGATTTTTTTTTGCTTTTTGCATACATGTGTAGTATAGGGGGACGGCAAGGGGGCGTTTCAATTGAATCAGTGAAAACGTGTACTGGTAATGATTGTTCTGTAATGTCACCGAATTTGCCATGTCGATTTATCGGTAGACATATATCTGTTGTCATTTATCGTCGATCTTATATATCCAGATAGGAATGTCATTGTCTACAGTAGAATACCAGTTTACTATTATTATATTTTTTATTCAATGATGACAATTTTTCTTATTTCTAACTAACTTGTTTCTTCGATTACACCAATTTTGAGTTCTTATTTTATGAAGGAGTTACTCCGGTTGAACTTGGGTGAATAGTGTCATTGAACAATCAACTCTTACTGTGATGTAATATTGAGAATGGAAATGGGGGAATTTGTCAAAGAGACAACAACCCCGACCAAAGAGCAGAAAACAGCCGAAGGCCACCAATAGGTCTTAAACACAGCGAGAAAATCCCACACCCTGAAGCGGGCTTCAGCTGGCCCCTAAAATAGACGTATTTACAATTGTATGCAAATTTTTCCACCATTACCTGATTACTGCATTAGTTAATCAAGTTCCAGTAGAATTTTGCATCACAATTTAAATGTGATTGTTCCATGATGCTGTAAGATTATTTGGAGAAAAATTTAGTGTAAATTGGGGCATATTCAGCTAAATACTGGAAAGGGTAAATACACATGTACGTCTACTGTACCATCGGAAATGTACGGGAAAATTCATGAATTTCTAAGTCGTCGTTCTTTCACATAAAATAGCATACTACATTGTATTTTGAATTTCTTATGCCACCTAATGAGCTTATTGGTTCATATTTGTTCGATTACATTTATGATTATACTTTTCTGTAATCAGATACATTTTTATCAGAGTTCTTGAAATCTTTTTTCCCTAGTGGTCTATGAAGAAAATCTGCTGGTCCTCACTATTATCTCTATTGAAAAATACCAAAATTGTGTCTGTCCTTGAAAAATTTTGGTGGTCAAAACCTTTGGACCTCCACTTTTAGAGAACTCTCTTTGATATGTATTATACAAAGGAGGAGGTTTGCTAAGGGTCCTTTTTGACTTCCACATATGAAGTATAGATAATGTAGGTTTCAATATGACATAAATTCAGATTGAGTTATTTCCCCTGATTGTCGTTTTGGAGGGGTTAATGGGTAATTTTCGTATTTGATTAGTCAAATTAAAACAAGGTAAAATCATCTCCTTATTTTTATATTGATAAAAGATCTTTACTAGATCATAGTGATGAAGCAAGCAAGACTGAAAGAAATTAAAATTGTTAAGAAAGCAAATTTATCTAAAGTGTAGCGATCAGTTTAACAAGTTGAATTTGTCTGATTTGTTAAAGAATTTATGTATGTAGACCTCCAACATGGTGCAAAAGGGAATAAGCTCTTGCTCAATTACAATTTCAATAATCAATGTATTTATGGTCCCTAATTTACCTATAAAATAAACATGCTTAAAAGTTAAAACATTCAAATCATCTTTGACAGTCATGCCAGTTATTCAATTGAGTCAAGTGTAAGTAACTAAACCGCGTTAAAGGCCATAGATTTTGCAATGCCTTTAGCGTAGACCTGATATAAAAAGTTAGAAACAAAATGTCTATAAACATCGATAATGTGAAAACACTTAGATTAAAATAAAAAGTTCTCTGAAGCAAAAATGTTCAGCAAAGTAAGACCTACAATGACGATTATATGACCAAAACTGTCAATTGACCCCTTAAGGAGTTATTGCCCTTTAAGGACAAATTACACAATTTGTTTATCATGTTTTCTAACTTTAAAAAATCTTCTCCTCTGAAACTACTGAACCAAATTAAACCAAACTTAAGCTGAATGATTCTTAGGTTAATTATTTAGAATAAAGTTAGTGTTTTATTTTCTGTTTCCTCAGAAAACATTGCCACCATGGCTAAAAATAGAACATAGGGTAAAATCTATTTTGACATATCTCAAAAACTAAAGCATTTAGAGCAAATCAGACAAGAAGATAAAGTATTCATTAGGTCAAGGTCTACCTGCCCTGAAATTATCAGCCAAATCGGGTATCTGATTTTTAGGTTATTGCCCCTGAATTGATGATTTTAGGAAATTTTGCAGTTTTCGGTTATTATTTTGAATATTATTAATGATAAAGATAAACTGTAAACAGCAAAAATGTTCAGCAAAGTAAGATATACAAATAAGTTTTATGACCAAAATTGTCAATTGACCCCTTAAGGAGTTCTATAGATATAAGAAGATGTGGTATGAGTGCCAATGAGACAACTCTCCATCCAAGTCAAAATTTATAAAAGTAAACCATTATAGGTCAAAGTATGGTCTTCAACACGGAGCCTTGGCTCACACCAAACAGTAAGCTATAAAGGGCCCCAAAAAATTACTAGTGTAAAACCATTCAAACGGGAAAACCAACGGGCTAATCTATATAAAAAACGAGAAACGAGAAACACTTATGAACCACATCAACAAACGACAACTACTGAACATCAGATTCCTGACTTAGGACAGGTGCAAACAAATGCAGCGGGTTTAAACGTTTCAATGGTACCAAACCTTCACCCTTTTTCTGAAACAATAGTGTAACATCACAACATAGAAAGACACACTATAAAATATCAACTGAAATAGCTTAACTCAATCAAAGGACATAACACCAGTGAACAAACACTGAACAAATAAATTTGACCTATGCTACAATGCAAATACAAAATAAATAAACTAAGGGAAGAATAATAAAAGTAACATATTATATCGGTATGAAATGTTTAACAATTTAAGAAAAACAATATGCTCGAACCAAAATATCAGCCATTTGCAATAACTTTAAACACAGGTAAATGAAAATAATTTTGTTGTTAGGTATACGTGTACAGTTCCAATAGAGAAAGGAAATATTTTTACAAAATAAATAATTTTGATGTTCATAGTACGAAGTGAAAATTAATAGTAATACCAAACACTTATCAAAGCTGGTATATAGACCAGCCAGCTATAACCCTGAATAACATTAAATAACATAAAAGCATTATAATTAGTATCAACAGGTCAAATAAACAAGAAAGTACGATTTGAGAGTAGTTTGCTTACTTTTAACAATCTTTTCCTTTGAAACTGCTGAATCAATTTCAGCCAAACTTTAATGAGTTTCAAAGAATCTATAAGTTATGTATTTTATTTCCTTGTACATCAAGAAACATGGCCACTATGGCTAAAATGGAACATAGCGGTAAAATGCATTTTTTTGCTTTTGAAGAAAATATGACAAATACAAAAAACATTTAAATGGCATTTTTAAGCGACTCATTAATATATATATTGAAAGGCAAAAATAATCATTGATGAAAGATTTAAGCAAAAAATTACAGGTCAGCTATTCAGGCTTTTGAGAGCCCTTTGACTTTGTTTTGAATGATTTAAAATTTATGATAATTTTGGATTTCCTCCTGCCAAGCCTGATTGTGGGAAAAAGTAGTTTCAGCAAGAAAAGTCATATATGACATTTTGAAAGCCCAGCGAAGTTTTATGCAATTAAGCGGAGAATGCTTATATCCGAAATGCAAAATTGAGGAGTCAAATGAGATCGATTGTAAAGGAAAAAAGAGGCTCTCAAGAGACTCACCTGTAATTTTTTGCTTAAATCTTTCATCAATGATTATTTTTGCTTTTCAATATATATTAATGATTGGCTTAAAACTTCCATTGAAATGTTCTTTGTATCTGTCATATTTTCTTCAAAATCAAAGAAATGCATTTTACCCCTATGTTTCATTTTAGCCATAGTGGCTATGTTTCTTGACATACAAGAAAATAAAATACAAAATTTATACTAGATACTCTGAAACTCATTCGGCCCAAGTTTGGCTGAAATTGATTCAGCAGTTTCAAAGGAGAAGATTTTTTAAAGTAAGCAAACTAAATGAACAAATTGTGAAAAATTGATTTTAAAGGGCAATAACTCCTTAAGGGGACAATTGACAATTTTAGTCATACAAAACTTATTTGTAGATCTTACTTTGCTGAACATTTTTGCTGTTTACAGTTTATCTTTATTATTAATAATTTCCAAGATAATAACCAAAATCTGCAAAATTACCTTGAAATTACCAATTAAGTGGCAGCAATCCAACAATGGGTTGTTAGATTCATTTGAAAATTTCAGGGCTGACAGAGCTTGGCCTAATAAACATTTTTACCTCTCATCAGATTAGCTCTAAATGCTTTAGTTTTTGAGAGATATTTATATATATAAGTCAAAAATTGCATTTGACCCCCTACGTTCTATTTTTATACGACTGCAAAAAAAATTTTGGGATCGTATAATGGTATGATGTCGTCGTCGTCTGCGTCGTCGTCCGAAGACACATTGGTTTCCAGACAATAACTTGTGTGTAAGAGTATGGATCTCTCTGAAATTGTACTACAAGGTTCCATACTACATAGGAAAGGCTGGGATTGAGTTTTGGGGTTATTACTCCAAGGGAGGTTTCAAAAGGTTGGGGGGGGGGGGGGATTTTTTCCCAATTTTTTTAAAGGGATTAATATTTTTTTTTCAAAATTTTTAAAATTTCGAATTTTTGAAAAGTTTCAAGAAGAAATCTTCAAATGCACAGTATTGCGCAATGGATTTATAAGATCTTTGACCACATTTATTTTGTGTCAGAAACCTATATAATGTCAAAAATTTGATTACAATCCAAATTCAGACAGTATCAAGCTTGAAAATTGTGTCCAAATTTGCCACACTGTTCAGGGTTTGACCTCTGCGGTTGTATCAGGCTGCGCTCAGCGAAGCATTTTATTAGCCATGGCGGCCATGTTTTTTTATGAAACAGAAAATAAAACACAAACTATTTTCTAGATACCCTTAGAATCATTCAGCTTAAGTTTGGTTGGAATTGGTTCAGTAGTTTCAGAGGAGATGTTTGAAATAGTTTACACCAGACAGACGTCGACGGACGACCACAGATGACGACGGACGCCAAGTGATGGCAAAAGCTCACAGTTCCTTCGGAACGGTGAGCTAAAAAAGGGGGGTCTCTTCCTATATAAAGGTACAAACAGACGTGTCGCTGGTATGGGTTACTTTTTTGGAATGTCATATATATCAATGGGGTGCAATTTCAAGGAGGTTATATATCAATAGGTAGAAATTTATATGTCAATAGGTCATGATACATGTTCAGCTTCTGTTAAGATGCTTGCAAAAACTGTACATGTGTTCTTATCATTTTATCTCTAATATAATATGAATCAGGATCCCATGTGGTTAACTGTGTAACATCTGATTGAAATAAGATGTCATATGATAGCTGGGAAATATATATAAATGGATTGTGAATTTCTTATGAAATATATGAATGGGTAGGCATTTTCACATAAATCATGTATATACCAGTATTCTACTTCTGTGAAAGAAGGTAGATTGTAATATAGTAAATGTAGTGTCAGATATATCTTTTTTAAACTGGATTTTCTGTGTAGGATGTCATTCAGATCTAGCCTTTTGTTCTTTGAACTAGTTTTTCAAACACACATTCATGACATTTATAATTTTAAAATCACCTTATTATATAAAACTCCATTAATATCTGCCATCTTATGCGGTTCAGTTAATCACAATACTTCATGGCCACTTTACTTACACGACATTTATTTCATTGTTTGATTAAATTTTTAGTTCAAGTGTTAAAGTTTGTAAACAAAATAATTGAAGTTGAAGTGGAAATAACTCTGATAGCAAACTATTTACAGATTTCTACTTGTATTTATTAAAGATACTGTCTAGAGTGGAGAAACTTTGTTTCACAGTGCTAGAATCTAGATTTCTTTTTTTTACAGTAGTTAGTGCTGTAGAAATATAAAAATAAGGAGATGCGGTATGATTGCCAATGAGACAACTATCCACCAGAGTTCAAATGAAGTGGATGTAATTAATTATAGGCAACCATAAGGCCTTCAACAATGAGAAATGTATGTATAAAGCAGTCTATTAAAGGCCTGACATGAAAAATGTGAAACAATTCAATTAAGAAAACTAATTGCCTTATTTACAACAAAACAATTTACGAATAAAAAAAATATACAGACATGTCACCGAATTTTTGCTTCCAATAGTCTGAGCAATATATTCTGTCAGCCTTAGGCTGTCGTTTATTAAAAAGCAAAATTAATGCAATTTAATTTTGACAATGCTTGACCTATTAGCTCATGTAATATGTGCTGTGATTTAGTATCATTACATGAATATAATTTATTGCAGCAGTGAAATTGATGTGTAAGGAGTATATTTCATGCACAGACTAAAACAAGAACATGTATTTTTCAACATTGATTTTTTAGGTATCGATATTATGATCTGAGGAAAAAAGTCAGTCAGTTATTAAATGTCTGTCAAGAATGTGGAATTTTTCTTAAAATATATGTTGAGAACTATAAGCTCAAATTATTTCATGCATGAAATTGATTGGAAAATTACTGTATGTTTTGGGACAAAATACTGACTGTTTTTATTTACCGTCTGTGTAGTCAAGGATGTCACTGTCAGTTTGAATAACCGATTTTATTCTAAAGTGCATCACACTGGTTTTACCTGTGCATTGCAAAATCTTATTGATTTTCTATAAAGTCTTGTGTAATCTTGCAGTTTTAATTTCCTATTGTCTAGAAATCAGCTGATTTATTGGGGCTAGGTTGTCTGATGGGTATTGTTTTCATACAGTTTATAGTAAAAGACATAGCCATCAAATTATGAATATAATTATTCATGTAATATGAGGTTTTCATTTTTTGTCTGTTCATAAATAAAATAGACAAGGAGATGTGGTAGGATTGCCAACAAGACAATTATCTGTAAGAGTCCAAATGACATGGCCTACATTTTCCATTACAGCAAATGTTTGATGTAAAGTTTCATTTCTGTTCCAGATACTTTATATAATTAGTGCTCCTGTTGTGCATCTTTGGATGGCATGTTGTTTGTATAAATTATCAATCAAGTAGTATGATGTCCATTTCAGGTGTTTGATTGACAGATGGATGTGATAACAGATTTGACATGAAGTACTTGTTTTACTTTGACATTAGGTCACTTACTTGGAGAAATGGTGAAGGAGTGGTTCATCTGGAATAATTTTCCTGTAGATTAGGTAAATAGTTTAATAGGTTAAACATGTTAATTAGCATAATGCCTGAATCGAGTAAAAATTGGTTTTGATGTAGTTTACAGTGAAATAAATAAAATGTATGGAAATAGAGAAAATTCTCTAATGATCTTTGGCTTTGACTCCATTTTGAATAAATACTCTTTATCATGTTTATGTGACATAGAGAATATAAAATTTAAATTTAAAATGCTATGAGGTTCATCTAAACAACAATATAGCATGATATTTAGGATCGTTAAAACAAGTTCTGAACATGCTGAAAAACATTTTATACTTATAATTTATTTTCACAGTTTTTGGAAGTCACTTCAGTATGTTTAGTGCCTTTTCATTCATTGAAGGCTAAATTATATGTTTTTCTTGGAATTTGAAGAAAATTATATTTATTTTTCTGTACAACTTAAACACTAGCTGAGAAAGTAAGCAGAGTTAAGCTTGTGTTTGAGCAGCTTGTATTAAATATAATAATCAATGGAAACATGTCATGTTTTAAAAAAAATCTGGAGGTGTTTTAATGAGATATGGACTCATGTACAAAGCACATGTGCATGTGTTTTTGGTTCATAAGAAATCTCATGCTTGAGCAAGGCCATTTTCGACTAATATCTTTGTGTGTTCACTGTTGCTTTTGCTCAGAGAAAAAGTCCAGAATCAAATTCTTCATAACACATTTTCTCTGAAAAATAAGCTTTCCACCTTTGTTTTTTATTACTGATACGTACATGTACTTGAACTGCGAGTTTTTCTTACACAACAAGTTCTAAGAAACTACCTACTCAATATTCTAAATTAAATTTGTCATTGACATAACATATATATAGTATGTAAACATGGTAAAGTAAGTATTTATTTATATAATTTATTTATTTTTGGTATGAGACATACATTTTTGCTCGATTAAAGTGTTCACATGTACCATATATATATTGTGGTCAGTTAATTTGACAGAAACTTGACATTATAGTGAAAGGTCATCAGATTTTAAGTAGGAAATGCCAGTCATTCATTCTTCAAGTGGTCCTTATTCGGTTGGAGTTCATCTTATCATTAATTTTAATCTATATAGACCCCAATAGGTTTGATAAATAGGCTTTTCAAAGCCCACAAGTCATAGCAAGGGAGCATATTAAATCGCTATTTACACAATGAGATAAATGTCTTTATTTAGGATCTATAGATAATACATATATGTGTAATATTATTAATTTTGTTTGCCAAATAGCTTATCAATAATATTTGATAAGCGAGACATCAACATCTTGGAATATTTAAAACTGGTGGAAATGTACATTTCCTGGATTTGCTATTAACAATAGAAGGAAGTGAAATATATTTCAATTTAATTGCTGTTATTCTAAAATTAGAATCACTTAAAAATCAGTCAGCGGAAAATTGACAAGAGTCTGTGGTGTTAAGTGTGAATTTCTGATTGTATTTGGATATAATAGGGAAAGAAGTTTGTATTTTGATTGAAAAGAATTGACCTACATTTTGTGACAGGTTATTCAAGGTAATAATGGGATTTATAAATTCTTTTTAAGGTTAGCCAGGTGAGAAAAAAAAATGTTTTATTATTGAAAAAGGCGTGAGGTTATAAGTAAGTGTTGTACATTTGTATGGAGCTACTCTCGTCTGTTGGATTTATAATTGTATTTTGTAATATGAGCTGTGGGGAGATATATCATTGTGAAATTTAAGGTAGGATTATTATTTCATTGTATGTTTTCATTTTATGACTATAATTTCAGTAAAACTTCATTTAGAGGATTTTCCTCATAAATCACACATATTTTATTATGTACATAAAAGTTTGGAATGATTTAATAGTAAAAAATATACTGTTTAATTTTTTTCAAAAATTAAACTGGCTTTTAAAAAAGCAGGAATATATGATACTTTGTGTTTTCTAAACTTAGAAAGAACTCATGTGAGAGATAATCATACGGAAACATTATTAAAATTTATTAGAGGATTATCCAAACCACAAGATTTTAATTGTCTATTTCTAATAATAAGTTTTTAAATCAGATCATGCTAATGAATCATAGCAAAATTCCATCTTTAGTAAGACTGAACCTAGATGGAAGACATTTTCAAATTATCTGAATTTCTTGTCATCAATACAGGGAGGTAAAATTGTTCGACTTCAGACCTTGTCTTTTTTATTGTTTCATATTTTAATAGAAAAAATTATGTGTGCCTTAATGGCCAACTTCACACAGTCTCTAATTTCAGTTAATACTGTAGTTGCAGAATTTATTCCAATGTAACATTTTTTATTTTGAAAGTTGTGACAGGATAGGTTTCGCAAAAATAAAACTTTTGATAGCATTATAAGAATGCAGCATTTCCTGAAATCACAAAATTATTAATCTCACATTTTGCTCAATTGTTCAATAATGACAATAACTTCTGAATTTACTGGATTTAAAGTCTTATTCTCTCTGACAGCATAACAAACTGAAGAATAAAATAAATAAATACTATAATTTTTGGGTGTCAGAATAGAAATTTTTTTTGTTAGCTTGATTGTGACAAACAAGCAATTATTTTGGTTCTAAATATTATATATACATCGCAAGGTCATGAATCCCCTTTAATTACGATTTTTGGTTGTGTTTATTACAGGTTACATGCAATATAATTGTAATGGCTTATTTAAAATTTTCTTGTTCACACCCAAACAATGGTAAAGGGGCAGCAGTTTATTAGTTTAAAGAAACCTAAAAACTTAATACCTGTGATTCCGCTAGCATGCTGAAAAAAAAATATGGGTCAGTAGAAAAGCTTATATATTTGTTTTACTTCTTAAAGTAAAAGTTTTAACTGGTTTTATTAACTTTTAAACAGGGGGATACACTCTGACTTTGATATTGTCTGTTTCAAAAACTGTAGGCTCTAAAAACTAGGGTTGATAGGGTTAGTGGAAACCCCCATATTTTTGTAGGCCTAAAATTGGAGTAGAGTTGCTTCGCATATAGATATATGAACTGTTATTACTTTAAGAATGTTTAGGTTTATGGAAAATATGTAGGATGTTGATTAAAAGTTGGAAAGTAATCTGAAATATACACAGACATAAATGTTGAAGGGTCAGCAGTTTATTAGTTTAAAAAAACTTAAAAATTGAATAGTTGTGTTTCCGCTAGCATGCTGTAAAAATATTGGGGTCAGTAGAAAGGCTAAATAAAATTTTTTTTACTCCTAGAAGTCAAATTTTTATCTAGTTTTAAACAGGAGGAAACACAATCCCGCACTTGCTCCTCATTTTCGTTTTGTTGTTTATATGTCACGAACAAGTGCGGAAAAATAATTTTTATTAAATTGGGGGAAACAGTCTGACTTTGAAATTGTTTGTTCAAAAATGGTAGGCACTTAAAGTTAGGGTTGACAGGGTTCTCACTTGGGTGAGTCCATGAGTCCTGGACTTATGAAAATCTGTCTGGACTTGTTATTTTCAAAACTGGTGAGTCCAAAGATGCATCAAGACTGTAACACTTTGTATCAACTGAGCAACAAATCATCATTTTATGACAGAAAAATTAAAATTACTCTTAATGTGATGTTCTTTTCTATTTCTTTTTTGTCATGGAACCCTAAATAAGAATTCAAAAACAGAAAAATTCTCTTCTTCTCACTGTTGGACTCGTCAAGGCCAAAAATGATGAGTCCCGGGACTCGCCTTCAAAAGTAGAGTGGCTTCACTTGAACTGTTCATGCAGACAGTCTCTAAAATAGCTGGTTGGAAAGACAATTTCCTGACAAATGATATAATTATTGACAGTTTTATGAAAATTCCTGTCAGTCACTTATAAATAGTACAAAACTGTGTGACCAAACCAAAGTTTGTCTTACATGTCAAGCAGATTTCAACCTTAGTATATACAATAGGGTGGGATAAGTCCATCCTCCAAGCGTCTATGATGTACATTAACATTAGTCTAATGAAAAGGTTTGTACTAACAGGATACATACGCTGGTTTGGTTAAAAAACATTTGAAGAGTGCCTGAGGTTAAGCTGTTATGGGATTTGATTCTTCTGAAGAAAAAAAGGGATTCCAAAATGATTTTATATCAATTTAATATATAAACCGGTGTAACAAGCCAACATGTTTTACATGTAATATACATATGGAAGGGCTCTGTTCATCCCTCTTTATTTCACACTCCATTTATATATGAATAACAAACAGTGTTTCATATAATGGAATTTCCTGTTTAGATCTAAAGGGGAGTATAAATTTCTGATAAAATATTTTATTTTAGTAAAAGACAAAATACAACTAAACCTTACTTTAAAGTTTCCACTGGATTAAAAGTGTTGCTAAAGTAGGGAGATGTCGGGGCATACCAGTGAATAGTGGAAAGGTGTATTGATATAATGAGGAGTCATTTATTTTCGAGGGTTGAGGAAAAATTGTATTTTCGTCCATAATGCAATATTTTATTAAATGGTTTTTTGCCTTAGAAGTCTTTACAAAATATGTAATTCATTGAACACTTAGATTTGTGAATTACCTATAACCTCAAATTTCATGAATATCGGTATCCCACAAGTAATAATAAATCCATTGTAGACAATTTCCGACATAGATCAATCTATACAATGATTGGAAACACCATGTAATGTACAAAATGTGGTTGTCTTCTTTCAAAGGGGTTAACGCAGGATGTTAAATGACAACATGTTTGATATGACATAATATTGAAAGGTGATTACATAAGTTTATGAATTCTAAATATAATCACATACATAATGTAGGATATTGATTTCAGTGTACACAACGTTATTCACTTATTCTGGAAAAGAAAAGTTTCGGAGGCCAAATATTGAAGTGAACGAAATAAAAAAAAGTTCTAAACATGAAACTAGGTATGGTATCTTTAAGTACAAACTACACAGTGTGAAAAGGATTGAAGCTTATCAGAAAATCAAAGTTTATTGGGCATACATAACAAGACTAATTGGTATTTAGGAGATA